CACACTGAAATTTCTGTGCTCTCTAGACATCTCTAGACTCTATCTGTTGCCCGTCATCCAGAGCGTCTACCTGACAAAGAACGGCCCGCAGCACGGCAGGGTGAAACTACACGGACACTGGGGCGAGGACGCCATTGCAGCGTTGCATTTGCACAGTCCCAGAAGTGACAACTCAAACTGACCTGCTGAATCCTGCTGAATCCTGCTGAATAGAAAATCAATGCATCCGCTAGCTTGTCAAACGACACTATCTCGCCGTAGCGGCAATTACATCTTTTTTGAAGGTGTTGGTCCCAGTTCAGAGTAGTCACTTTATACAGGCACGCGCTGTACCAATGTGGGTATTCGAAACTATCAACCTGTGCTCAATCCGCGTTGGCCAGTCTCAGTGGTTGTGGTGACAGATCGGCTGCACCACACACCACCACGTTCTTGAAATGAGTGCAAGTAGGTCAAGCAAGAAATGAACATGTGAACATGTACTGAGTTGATCAAATCCACCGTCTTTTACTGATTCGTTCAGAGCGCAGTGGGTCCTGATAGCCCTGTCATTATTTAATTTATCTATTGGTCAGGAAGTCAGAGTGCTGCTGCTAAGCCCAATCCTTTGAGGCAATCAGCCAGATCATGGTCAAGCTACTGCCGAAAGATACAGTAAGTACAGGGGGCAAATGGGAAGGTCTTGAATCATTTTGCCCACATCATAGATCCCCAACAAGAATGCCATTGTTTGCGGTCAGCAGCTAGAGCCACATGTTTCATCTTATGAATTGGGAATAAGCCGTTTGCAAGTAGAGCTTCGGCTCACAACTTGGGCATGGGTCAAAACCCCGCACTCCTGCATTTCACATGCCAATGGCCAGAATGGTTGTTCTCATGGAGCCCATCCCCACTTGCACCCTTCTGACGTGCAGGCCGCGCTGCCAGTGTCGGTTTCCGCCCGAAAAGTTTAGGAACTGATTGAGCCGCCATCACGGGGCAGTTCTTGCAACCATGCCGGCTTTAGGGCTGCAACAGACGCCCAAGCCTGAAATTGCAGTTGGCGAAAATCAGGAGCTTTTGCTGCTGGTATCTGCTGGTATATTTCGCGATGTTTGTACGCATCCTCTCATAAACACATGCGTGATCATACATGCAATATTCTCGTAAACAGACATACCCACACATCACAGACACCTCTCTTTTTCTAGCGCGATGGGAAGCCCCTTACTTACACACAACAAACACAAGGCAGAAATGTTTTGAGAATGTATGTAGTATATTATACAATAACTCAAGTCCCAGCAGCTACAAGATGTTCAAATCACAGTTGGGCAAAGACGAGCTTGCTTCCAGGAAATTATGGTAAGTATACAGTATACCGTATACCACATCCTCGGCAGAAGCCTAGATTACACGAGAAAGCAGGACTGTCATGGATTGTTAGCATTCCTTGGTTGATCCTGTACCAAATGAATCCAAATTAATTCTAGGTGCAAAAATAGAAGATGAAGCCAGAGAGCTTCAGGGAGATATGGAAGACACTGAACACAATGACACAAGGCAGCACAGGACCGGGACTGATCAGGAATGATAGCATTCTAATCGTGGTTGTATTTTGCTGTTGGCATGAAGAACTCGATAAGGAGAAAGTACAGTAAAGAATAGTAAAGATATCTTCTGAATTGTTGTTGCGGGCAGTCTTCAATATTCTTATAATCTATAGAGTTGGCAACCGGTACAGCTTGTAGCAAAATAATGCAAAATACAGTGTCAAATAATCTGCGAGAAACCAAGAGTACCATTGGAGGCCCATATTAATATACAAAATCTAACGTTCAAGATGCTGACAAAACACATATCCAAAAATGATGTTCAATTGAGCCTCCATGGTGACACACTTCGAGACGCGCCACATTTCGTGCCAGAATTTATTGGAGTTCAATCAAATTATGCGAAAAGATTCGCCATATTCCAAACATGTGATCCATGACAGGCGTATTCTGAAGAAGTACCTTTTGAATGCAGCAAACCCAATAACAATCCACGCCTAAATTCATTGCGTGGGGTTGTCGTTTAAATGTATATTATATGTATGTGACTGTGTGTGATATAGTAGATATATGAACCTATGCTGACTCTATTTTCAAACCTTCAACGGCTGTTGGGAGTTCATTGAATTTTGCCACATCAAATATCATACCATAATCAATCTTACATAATATGTACATAACCCAATGGCTTTAGAGAATCCCATGTTGCTGTGGCTATCAAAGATCCAGGTCAGATTCTCAGCAAATCTCCGGCATGGAAGGGACCTGCGGACACGCTTGGAGAAGCTGCGCCGCGTCGCCCGGCTCGAAGTCATGCGCTTTAACTTAACAAACCTGTCGTGAACAGTCGGCCACTGCACTGTTGAACGTAACGGGATGTAACGGGAATGATGGCTGAATCAACAAAATCAGGCATTTATATAAATGGTTATAATATAAATGGTAAAAACTAGTATATAAACCAACCACAGTGGAGAGGTAATGGGATGATATGAATATGGGATATGCAGCAACCTAAATCAAATAGATAGACCAGTTGGAAACCTGTAGATTATACATGAAATCATGGAAGAAATGTCATGGATGACGTTGAGAACATCTTGGAAAAACGTTCGAACTTTTTGGGCGCCCATAAGTATCATAAGTCGGACCCTTATATATCCACCAAGTCTGTGAAGTCGTCTTCGGTTGGAGATAGTGAAGGCCATCATGCTGTGGCATAACCTGATAGATCCTGGTAGATCCCTTGCATTTTTTGGCCGGTTGTTCAAGATAGGTAAAATTTTGACACCCGAAACACTTCAAAGGTCTTTTTTGTTTTTGTTGTCACCGCGTTTTGCCATCTGCCAGCACTTCCTGAAGCCAGCTGTGCTCAAAAATACGACCCATTTCTGCCCGCTACGCTGTCCACCAACCACGCTTGTCTCAGGTTCTTTGACGCAGAATTACTTTTTGAGAGGGAAAATGCCAGCAGGAAGACACTGAATGAACATGAATGAACTATGATACACGATGATGAACTATGTCATCACTGTGACCACAGCTGGATGGAAGTGAGCAGGCTTGCCATGGTGCCAAACTGTGGAGCTGACGACCTCTGGGTTAAACCAACGAGACACTGGGGTATGCTGCATGTATTCTTCTCAGCCAACGGATGAAAGGAAAATTACTCGGACCCATAGACGTTCGCGTCAAGCTCAAGTTTCCCCCAGCACCATGGGGCGACAAAACCACGACAAAACCACGTTCAGGCGCCGTGGCCAGTTGCTGGCCCGGCGCGCGAGAAAAGACTTTTTTGTTATGATCGGTGGTCCCTGTCGCGTGTGACCATGACACCCCCCAGGTTTTTTTTTTGAGGCAGCTGATCCCAGCGCCGGTGGTAGACAACCTCAGCTTCCGGCGCCGACAGATCGGACAGGGGGAAGCCCCGTGCACAAGTGCACAGCCGCGGGGTTCTCGGGGCTCCGCGCAGTGGCCCAAGCCGACCCTTACCGGGAAGGAGTACCGGCCTCATTTGAGGTGGCAAATGCAGCCGACTGTTCTCTCCGGATCAAAGCATAACAATCGGATTGACTCACTGGACCACGGTCAAGACTTGACCAGGAGACAGTGACAACTTGAAATTGGCGCCTGAACACATCCTGCCCCCCAGGACAAAAGTTTCTCATAGTTTCTCCCTGGCCAACTGAGGTCAGCACCTGAAGAACCACTGGTACAAAATTCACGGAGAAGCCCCCACCGTGCCCCTGGTGCGATGGACTCTGATGGCTCCAGAACGTCTGAAGGCTAAGTTGGGTCCCTTCCCATGGTTCGTCATTTCACTATATTCATTCATAATTCCAGCATATTCCACCTAGGGAAGATGGCCCAAAAAAAAACTAAAAATTGGGATATGATTATATGATGATATGATAAACTCTTCTCGTCAATCACTTCAATAGATCCCGACTCTCTCGAGGTGGTACCTCTGAAGGGCTTTCTCCGATGGAAAGCAATTCACCTGGGATCCGACATCTTCAGCTTCTTCGGTAGCTGGATTTGAATGATTATCAACAACATCAGCAAGAAAAATCAAGAAAATATTGTGATTTCGGTTGGCTTTACCATGTTTCACCCTCATTTTTTCCGAAAGATATGGCAGGGAGTTGCAGCATGGCAGCCATGGCCAGCTCCACGCCCCTGAAGGCCGCGGCAAAGCTCCTCAACTCTGGCGAGGCTTACGGGGCCTCAATCTTGACGTCGCAAAGGCCGGTGCTGCCCCATCTTCCCCTGATTGACCCCCTTCGAAACCAAAGTTTAGTAAGTTTAGTATTAGGGATCATATAGGGATCCCTGGATTCATTTTGAAGGCCTTTTTCTCCCCGATGGAATCCACATGGTGAATTTGAAATTAGGGTGGCTTCGTCAGATCGCTGACCTTTTTGGCGTACGACTTCAACAGGTGGCACATAATGCGCATATGCCACATAGGGATGAAGCCAGCGGATCAACCAGCTAGTGCTTTCGGATAGAATTTGGCTTAGGGCCTAGGGGGTCTCCACATACCTTCTCAGAGATACCCTGCATCTGGGGGCCCCCGGCCACCCAGCCGCAGTGGCTTGCGACACAAGTTTCTGCGAAACCTCACTGGCAACCGGTAGGACCCAGGCCTACCCTCTGGTAATAATCCAAATAGGTTCCAAATGGTCCAAAGTGATCAAGATTCTGGGTGCGGGGTACGTCTCCTGGTAATCTTGCCCGGCAATGAAGAAGTATATATAGAAATCTGGAATGCGTGTGATTCTGCAAGAGACCGGACGCCTCTAATTTCTCAAAACAAAGGTCACAGTTTCGCACAGCTCTTATCATTTTGATTCATTTTGTGGCTCAATCGTTCGATCAAGTTTTGGACATCTCTCATCACCTCTCTATTTTGTTTGCAGTTTGATGGTGTTTTACCATATGTCTTCACATCATTTGACATATTCCTCACAGCCTGAGCTCCCACAACACCGTACAACACCTCCCTGATGCCACGGGCTTGGCTCCAAACTGTTCCAAAAGACCAGCTGGGCCTGAGCCGATGTGGCTGGAGATTGGTTGCTGTCGCCCAATGTCATCCCCAAGGGTCCAATCCACAAGGGAATAAATCATATAATAAAAAAAATATATATAATGATTCTCAAATCAAACTTTTAGATGGTTAGATGTAGAGAGAGAGAGAGAGAGGGAAAAATGGAAAAAAAAAGAAGGAAGGAAAGAAGGAAGGAAAGAAAGACTATAATAATTAATGATTTATGCCAAAACAATTTGTACATAATTGATCATAATTGATCATAATAATTGTACATCTTTGGTTATCTTTGCACAAGCTCCATGGCTCCATCCCCAATGTTTTTAACATCTTTTAACCACCAGATGCGGTGTGTTGCCAACTTGGCCTCCGACTAATGGGAAGTGCCTCCACCTTAGGTCTGCCGGCGCCTAAGGCACTGTTCGCGCCGCCGCCTATGCCAGAGGTCGAGGGCCCCAAGCGAACCTTCAACGGGAAGTGGGCTGACCTTGGCGAGCCACTAGTATTGGAGCCGCACAAAAGATGCAGATGCTAAAATGAATCAAGATGATTCGCAAACAAAAAAAAGACGATTCCAAATTCAGAGTTTGGGGTGGTACTCTTTGGGGATGTTAGTGTTCCAAGCGTGACCCATCCCCATTCAGGCTTCCAGCTTTCCGATTTCTTTAGGCTCTCAAGGCTTGCCGGCCAGTCCTAAGCCCCAGACACCCCTGGTTGGCTTCCTGAAAACAGGTCTCGCCTCAGCTGCGCAAAAACAGTTGGGGAGGCTACGCTTCAGTGGGGACACAACCAACCAATAAAGGAGGGTTTGAAGTTCAGCACGTTATCTGCGATCTAAGCACTTTGGATCTGAAACCACCAGCCAAAATCCTGAGCCCAAACCAGAATTCAGCATATTCAGCCAGTGAGCCCACCTGGATCCCCCACGTTGGAAGGCCAGAAGTCTCTAGCTCCCTAGTATCGAGGCACACCAACATGGAGCCTTAGCGCTCATCCTGGTTCTCTCTGCAATGGCTGCCTGACTGCAGCTTGTCAAATGCGCCTCCGTCTGAGCCACCAGCCAAAAGCATCCATGATGGTCAAGCAAAACGCTACGAGTTCCTCCTGCCAACATCTGCAAACATCTGCGAACAGGGGACAGAACCCCTCCTTGCCTTCTGTCAAGAAAATCACGGGTGCAACCGGCCTGAGGGATGTTTGCATCCTCAATCTCACAAAGGGCCTGGCCAGTTTCGAGCACCATCCTCCACAGTGTCAGCAATGGCTTTAGGACGAGTCCACGCGGTCCACGCGGTCCACGTGCCTGCTCGAGCCTCTTGTCGAAAACATCTACCCAGTCATCTGAATACGCCAACTCGAACTCCACACCCGAAGTTCGGATAGGTTCCTGGCGCGCAGTCTCCTTGGCATCCTTTGACCCATGAGATTTTGCTGTGTCTGAAAATGGAGGATTTACCATGATTAACCCTCAAATTTAAGGCCGTGTTCATAGGGATTAATGAAATTTTAACCAGCAGACTTAGAGGTACCCTAGTTTTAGACAAGCCAAACTGCCCTGATGAGACATTGCTTCCCCAGCTGGGCCTCCTTCTTGGGTGAGGAAAGGGGTTCTGTGATCTCGACCTGTCCCAGCGTCCCACCGACAGGTCTTGCAAATTTCGAAGGTACAACTCATGGATGAAGATGAATATGTATATATATATATATTATGCAATGATGCAAAATCGTTGCTTTGCGTCAGGTATTCTAGGATGGGTGTGTGTGTGTGTGTATGACTCACAACTGGAGGTATACACACAAAGTGCTGGAAATCATCCAAAAGCCTGCTGAGGTATTTGGGAGTGCTACACTCCAGCCCAGCAGTTCCAATTATTTTTGGGAACCATCCTGCCTTGCTGTCCAGCATGGGCAGCGGGACTGGCCTCTTAGCAATGCATCGAAACCAATGGATTCCGACCATCCCAATTTCGGAAAGCAGGATGTTCGAACATGTTCGTCTTGGCCCACGAATTTTGGCGAATGCGCCGTGGCGTGAGATTCAACTCTCCAAGTTTGGCGGTCTGTTGAGCCAAAGGTCTCTGCCACCTCCAATCTGAGTGGCACACGTAACTCTACCGGCTATGGACCTTAACTGAGCCAGCACACCAGGGCAGAATTCCCTTCCGCATGACATCGAACATGGCACCGCTAAAAATGGTGTTGGAAGATGGAGTCCCAACTGTTATGAATGGTTGGAGGATGAACTATAGGTTGTATGATGTTATATGTGTGGAATGGGTAAATCATCAAGACTTACGGTAAAAGTTATACTCATCTTCCAAGCTTGAAAAATCCTTTCCCAGTGATATGGGTAAGCCTTAGAATTTGCCATGTTTTAGGCGGGTGCTTTGTCAAGAATCATCACCTGAAGGTGTCAGGCTGAGCTCCAAGCATTTCGGCCTGGTCACAACAGCTATCAGGGCTTGGTGGGGATTAATAACCGCCAACCCCCCTACTGTTGGGGTTGATGGGGGGCTTGTAACTTCAATAACCCCCTTGGAGTTTCATTGAGTCGTGCCCTGCGATCCTCGCCAATGTCATTTATCATAAGACCAAGGCCTTACTCAAAAGCTTATTCGCAGCCATCCATCCCATCCATCTCTGATGCAGTTGTATAAATGCATACATGGATGACATAAAATATGTGTGTGTGTGTGTGTGAAATTGTGTGTGTGTAAATGTATCCACGCGCATCTCTATGAGAATTCTATGTGGGCATTTAAATATAATATACCACATATTGTGCGTGTATATGTTATATCCCCATCTCATCCATGGATTCACATCAACGTCGGTCTCATCCCTCCATCCCATCTCCAAACGGCCCGCCAACCACTTCCGGCATTTCCATGCACTTCCTATATCTTCAAATCGGAGCATGTCTTATCCATCATCTCCATCTCATTTCCCTCTCATGTCCAATGTTCATCCATTTTCCCATATTTTGCCATACTTTCCTAGCCCTGGTCGCCTCGGTGCGTCGCCGGCACCGTGCAGGCGTTGCCTCTGCCTCCGGCAATCTGGACTGTGATTTTGATGACCATTGATGACCTTCCCCCTGCAAAAATCATGAACACATCATAAACATGAGGCTCTAAAATATCATAAGCATGGGGTTTACACCCAAAAATGCATCAAAATAGTTCAAAATACTGTAACCATGGTGATTAAAAGACACGTTACAATAGAGATGACTCTGACCGAAAGCATCACAAAATCGTGATGGGAAATGATGGGAACTGCTAAGTGACGAAGCCATACGAAGTCCCCACTTTGGGAGTTCTCCAAGTTCTCCCCATTCCAACTATGGCTATGACTCCATTTGTCAGACTTGATCCCCAACACCGCAATCGGAGACACTACCTGCAGTAAAGGAAGCGGAGTTTTGCCAGGTGGTTCTAGAGATTCAGGCAAGTGCATCTGAGTCGTGATAAGGGCGGCAACCCTGCAGTTCTTCGATGGAACATCAGCTGTCCAGCTGGATGTCTGGCAAATCATTGCAGCATTGCAGCCAGTTGCCACCCGGCCAGTGGGTAGACCAGCACATGAGCACGAACTCTGAATTCGATGCGGCGTGAAAGGATTGATTGACGCACGCAATTCTGCTGTAGGGGCCACCTTTTAATCATCCTTTTTTGAAAAGAAAAAATCACCAGCATTTAGAAGCTGAGAATCTGCTGAAGAACCTCTCACCTGATCATGCTGATAATTCTCTTCACCAGTGCCGCCAGCAGCACGACGTGCAAAAAACATGTACAGTGCAGTTGTCAATTTGGCTGAATTAAACGCACGCAAGGGATCATATTTCACTTGTTCGCTTCACCAAACCAAACAGCTATTGGAAGAACGATTGTGTACCACGTTTTGACTCAAAAAGCATCGAAAACTCAACGTGAAGCTCACCGCTCTGAACTCGGGAGACGTCCCGGTTCTCTCCTTGCGCCAAAAAACTCCATAAGCTGTTCATAGCTGTTTGCTGTTCACTGGACCTCATCATTTTGTGAAGCCTGGCTGGTCAGAGGTCAGATTGGACTGAGTTTAGGGGCAAAAGTGGGGAACCATAATCTCACCATGTTTTTTTTGACTGATTTTCAAACACCATGTTATACCATGTTTCTTCCCACCAAATCTGGCATTTTCCTAGACATCTCTTTCCTGAAACCAAGCGCCACAGCCTGCATTTCTGGTATTTTACCAACCTCAGGGCCGAGCTGAGCCAAGCATGGCGTGGCTCACCGTGGCTCAACGGTGTAGTAGTTGACCACTGTATCAGCTAAATCGCATCTCGTTTGGTTGTATCAAGTAGTATCAAGTTGTATCTACTGTCCTTTGCAACATCACCCGATTGCCAGCTAAGCTGGTCGCGTGGGCCATCAGAGAAATAGCTCCACATGTCCTGAGTCCGCACTTCTATTCGACGACGTTAGGATTTAGGGAAACTTCAGAGAATGAATCGCGATGCCTCACTCAAAAAGTCTCAAAAGTGCGTAACATTCTATGACCATGCTGACTACCCGAGTGACCAACGGCGTCAATGGAGCATCCCCATCAAGATCATCAAGCAATTTCAGTTCATCATGTTCATCTCTTGATATCTAAATCTAATCTGTAATAATATGACATATATATAATATATATATGTGATTTAATAATGTAATACGAGTACATATCGATATCTTCCGCCCATTGATGTCCAAAATTTCTCCATGTCAAAACGATGAAACTTTCAGCCCGTGCCATGGCCATGGCTCCTGCGAGAAGAAGGACTGGAATGGGCCCGGCGCTCCAAATTGTCGCGAAGACCTCGAATGGTTGGGCTGTCCGGATGGACCAAATGATACCAGATGGTCAGATGGTGGTGTCCTGTCCAGACCATAGTGCCATAGTGGACCCAAAGGTGGGTTTCTTCATGTTTCCTCCGGTGATTGGACAATATTGGACATGGGCTTGGGATTCCATGGCCATCATCCAACAAGATGCAGCGAAGGTATGAAACGCCCCACTCTGTCGGGACTCGTACAAAGTCAAAATCTGGAAAATGTCGGTATGAGCTGCATTCCTAGGTTTCACGTGGTTTAACTATTCTTTATTCCTCATCATGAGGGTCACAGATGTTTGATGAATAATCCAACCATTCACAGCAGGGCTGCGATTCTGGGATTCACCGACTCATCTATCCCGCCATAGGAAGGATTGGCAGGTGCCTGACGGTTCAAGGAATGGAACGGCCAAGCTAATTGACTCACTACCATCACCATGGCTACCCTTACCCTGCAAACAAGTTGAGAGCAATATTACTGTAAAAGAAACTGTGTTTATATATCAATGTTTATACTATGCATATTGTATTAATATAATATTTTACTATATTATAATATATCATATAATATTATATTAATTATATAGCGAAGGCGGCCTCCGGTGCGGGAGTTGTGTCACCCAGCAACATCGTGGCCTCAGGTACCCAGGAACGCTACTATGGTTGCGGTGGTCATATGAGGCACGGAAACTCATGGCTGGCCTACCCGCCAAATATTGGGTTCTCAAGCTTTAATGTGCTAAAATGTGCTAAATGTGTTTTTGTAGCTCTCCAAATCTTGTAAGAAAAATACAATGCCGTGATTTGTTCTCCGCAAGCAGGGACTGCCAGGACCCTGGCAGGAGATAAAGGCAGCACGGTTGGCTCAGCCTAGTCCAGTGTGGGAAGTGATGCATGGCCGAATTTCTCAGCTCTGCTCATAGGATCTCATAGGTCCATACTCAATTGATTTTGCAGTGATGACATATATGGGTGCAACTTGAAGTACCCCTAAAGTGGAATGCTTGCATTTGATTCCAGAACTATCATGTTTTTTTCAATCTTCCACCTGGTGTTCAAAGTCATTCTGATCCGTAACAGGGGAGTTCTTAAAATTGGTCTACGAGTCTACCCGGAAACCTTTGGTTTCCAGCTTAGGACATCCTCACATCAAAGATTGTTTCCCCCTTCTTCCCCCCCCAGTTTAAGAAAAACACATCAAAAACATTGGGTCTCATGGATCCCTTCACCTTCCCCGACACCTCAAATGCCCCGAAGCTGTCAGGTGGTTTGATGGCACGCCGTGGTGGTGATGGAGGTCCCGGTGGTGCCTAGCAGGGGATTTTTTTACCACACATTGCTGTTCAAACCATCCAAACTTGGAGGTTTTTTTGTGGATTTAGATGGATTTTGCATGATTTACTCACCATGTACCCAAAAAATGTTGGAAACTGAGTATCGGAACTCTTGAATTCTCTTTCGTGGAGAAATGTGTTGGGGTTGATGCTGAAAGGTTCTGGCTTTCAGGACTCTGCTCTGACGGATTATGACAGCAACATTGGACCTGTACGGCGAAATGAAATCAGCATCCCAAATGCCCACAACAAAGGAAAAGAGCACTTCGAATGGAGCATCGCTGCACAAGAAACGACAGTTTTGAAACAAGTTCGTTCCACTCCATCTTCCCACCGTGACAATGAACATGAGTTACCTCCTTCAGAGCCAGGATCAACCAGGGGATTAGCCAGGATTTATCAAGAATGAACGCACCAACTGGCCCACAAAATTCTTCATGTTTTGGTCTTAAACCATCCATGCTGATGGCATGTAAATGTTCTTGGCCCATCCTCATCCCCTCATTTCTGTTGACCAAATCCTCTAATTTCTGTTTCTTACCCTCCGGGAATTTAACATTTTGTCAAGCGAAATGCAGTCCATAGCACAGGCCTCGAGGACTACACGTCAGCAGTGTTCGAGTGAACTCTCCCATTTCCAGGGAATACAAGTTGATCCCAATCATAGCGATTCGAAGCCACGGGCAACAATGCGTTCCAAATGGTAGTGGTATTTTGCCAGTCAATCAAGGAAGGGCCAAAGTAGCGTTGAACTGTTGCAGTCGTGGCAATCTCGTATAGAGGGTGGTGCACTTCTTGGTTGGAGGGAGAATGTCCATTGTGGAGCTGAAGATAGCGATGATAGGCTTCAGACATCGCTATTTCCGGCCAATGCACTCTGGGGCGGCCGATCCGAAAGGGAGAGGAAATTGTACGCAAAGAGTGGGAAGTATTGAACGAAATTTTATGTTCAAGGGAGTCAAAGTGGCGGAGTATGTGGCCTAGGTATCGTAGACGTTGGACTGAGATTCGTTGACTAGGGATCAGGAGACGAGGTGCATGAACGTAAGCAAGCTGAAGAAGGAAAGCATTTGAACATTCCGCATCAGAGGGCTGCAAGACCCTGTGGTAGAAGGAGCTCTTAACTTGGAAGATTTGTCGGAGAACTTTGTAGTGGAGGGCGTTAAATCTGGTGATTCGGGCAGGAGTGTAAACCTGTGACTCACAACCATAAAGAAGAATTGCCATAACAATTTGTGAATAGATTTGAAGGCGCCGTCGGAACGGGAGAGCAGGGGGAATTTAACATAGCCATTGAAAATCAGCCATTAGTTCAATGATAGCGCGAAATAGCGCGAATTTTCCGCAGCTATAGCACAAATTACCAAGGGGGTAAACTGACTGATTCTTCCCACGATATCCTCATTATAAGCAATTAGAACACCATTTTTTTGTTAATCCCAATTAAATCACCATGTCTGATGGTCCAAGCACCCTCTGATCTCCATGTTGCAGCTGCGTCCAACGCGCCTCTCGAGGCTCGATGGGTTGCGGCGCAATGTTTCCTTTGTAGCCCTGGCGAGGGCCCGCGGCACGCAGCAAATCAGCGAAGCCTCTGAGTTTTCTTCTTGAATTATCCTCTGGTAAACTAACACAGCTATGGAAAATGGCTGGTTTATAATCGCTTTACTCATGAAAAAGTGTGATTTTCCATAGCCATTTTAGTTTACTTTGGTTTACTGAAGGGCAGCCACCTCATTGCTGAAGGGGGCGTAGATCCCAAACAAATTCCTTGCAAAGCTCCATGATAGTGTCACAGACTACCACATTTACAGTACAAGCACAAGTTGATGAGGTAAGCCGGTAAGCCCCATCAACGAGTTTAGGCCATGAATCCTAGTTTTGACGATATATCTTCTACCTCAAGTGGCCGGAGGCAGGAAAAGCTGTCCACACCCGCATCAACAATCCTTGCCTGTGTGCTTTTGCATATCTTGGCATCCGAGTAGACATCCCCAAGAAAAACAGTCTAACACAAGAAACCGAGAAAAAAGTCTGGGAAGGTGCGGAAAGTGTTGGAAGTGCTCTTGTCAGCCATAATCGGAGCCATGCTCGCCAGTTAGGTGACTAACATTTTATCACGCCTTTTTACTACAGATCAACCACGCTATTTTCATGGCAGCTCCAGGTGGTTCGGGGGCCCGGGCAAGGCTGGAAGCCATAGGCGCCATAGGACCAAGGCGCTTCACGGGCACCTGCCCCAAAGGATCCAAATGTTTCACAAAAATTGGAGGCTTCAAGACCTAGGCGGACATGAAACTTCTGACCTCGTGGGCGGCCTCGGAAGGTCCCAGCAAAGAGGCCTCAGCTGAATGGATCTGGGAAACAAAAAAATCTTCCAAAATCTTCCAAAGTTTTCCAAAAACAAATCCAGACCATCCAAAAATCACAGGTTCTCGGGCCATGTTTGGACAAGTTCCATCCATTCTTTGGGGTCTGGAGTCCCCGACCAAAGGCGGGTGGCGACGACCCTGGAGTCCGGTGGGCCATGACGCAGGAAGCATCCAACAACTGCGGCTGGTTTGCTATGTGTATCTATGTGTGCTATGTACCTCAATTTTACGTTAACCCACAAAATCATACAACATATACATATAGATATTATATAATTAATATATATATGTACATCTCTCTACCAAATCTGAGCCAACAGATAATTCTTGCTAGGCCGTCATTTTCAGCATGTCATGATATATCATGTTGGGGCTCCTTCGTTCCCCCAGCTGTCTAGCTGCGCCTGCTCGTCATCGTGCAGAAGTGAGGCCTGGAAGGGGAGAACTTCAGAAACCAACCCGGCTAGGCATGCTCTGTCCTCATACGCGAATATACAATACATACATATAGACATATATAGACATATGATCCATATATATATATATACATACACATAAATACACATAATATGTGTGTATGAACATTGCGTATGATTTCCCTATGCACATGTACATATGTTTCTTATATTGCATACAAATTGCATGTTGCACTGAAATGGTCTTGGTGTAGCCATCTGCTGCGCTGAGCATGCAACCAAGGATGGCTGGTGCGCTCCAGGTGTTCTCACTCCCTGAACTAGTGAAGCAGCGACTGGCTGAAGGGACAGGGATGCTGGCCACCCCACATGCAAAGGCTGGTAAATGCTGGTAAATGTCCCAGCCTAAGGGAATTTTGAACATCACTTGAGCAGTCTCGTTTTTGGGGAAATTGTTGTGGAAACACTTCGCATAGCCTACCTCTCAGTCCGCGTAGCCTTGCGTAGCCTCTCGCGTAGGGAAAATATTACGCGTCGGCACTGCGAAGCCTACCTAGTTAAAGCAACCTCGCGTAGCCGCCTTAAAGTATTTGTTGGAGATCATATCCCCTATAGTTGGGTGATGTGAAAAATTAGAACATTTGTCGAGCCCTGATATTATAAGGGGGCTGAAACTGAGTAAATAAATAGTTTAAAAAAATGACTCAATTCCCCACTTGTGGCCATGATTCACATATAGGTTGGAGCAACCCTGTATAACTTGGGGGTAAAACACCCATGGTTTCCTTTAAATAATCCATTCGACCAAACCATTGAAACTTGAAAGTCAGAGGAAAATCAAGCGAATCAATAGCATCGGATTCATCTTGGAACGATCAAAACTGCTATTGAGTCATTGAGGTGAAAGGAGACGAAACTAGGCAAAATAGCCGCCTATATGCACCTGGTGAATATGTCTGTACAGAGTTGGATGAAGGGATTTGTTTTGCAAGAAACCCCTATATTAGCTCTACATGCACTGCACTGGAGAACAAAAAAATTGCTTCCTTAGAGCCTTAGAATTTTCCCCTAAACTCACCTAATGATCTTGGTAATTGCTGACATGGAGGATTTCTACTGTTTTGGTGACGTTCCTTTTGCAGCTTCAGCAACTTCGGGGAAGACATGATCCCTTTCCGAGAATTTGTCAATACTAAGCATGCCATTGCACGCCCAGATTCGGCGCAACATGAGCATTTTGCATTACCAGAATGTGTTCAACCTGATCCGCATTTATAAAAGGCAAATGAGTGAATAAATAGATCATTGTTTCTTGCGTATGAAATCATATGATATCTCTCTTTATTCGATTTATGGTTTAAAAAGATAAGATGCAAAAATGATGAAACGATATAAGAAGCTTTTGAAAAAAACCTGGGAAAATGAGATCCACCTAGCAGCGACAAATCTCATGGTCGAGCTGCCGGTGAGCTCAAGGGATGCTGCGAAGGGGTCGGAGCCTGCGAGCTGGCGAGCGAAAGGGCAAAACTGCGCTGGCGGTTGGGACATTTTTCTGTCTATACCCGCTATAAACATATAAAGATATAAATATATATATATATGTGTGTGTGTGCGTGTATATCTATCTATCTATCTATCTATCTATCTATCTATCTATCTATCTATCTCTATCTATCTCCATCTATATCTATCTATCTCTATCTATCTCTATCCATCTCTATCCATCTCTATCCATCTCTATCCATTTCTATCCATCTCTATCCATCTCTATCCATCTCTATCTATCTCTATCCATCTATCTATCCATCTATCCATCTATCCATCTATCCATCTATCCATCTATCCATCTATCCATCTATCCATCTATCCATCCATCCATCCATCTATCTATCTATCTATCCATCTATCCATCTATCCATCTATCTATACATCTATCTATCTATACATCTATCCATCTATCCATCTATCCATCTATCCATCTATCCATCTATCCATCTATCCATCTATCCATCTATCCATCGATCTATCTATCTATCTATCCATCCATCCATCTAAGATTATCTATCTATCTATCTATCTATCTATCTATCTATCTATCTATCTATCTATCTATCTATCGTGTGTGTGTTTATGCATGCATCTGCATATTTGTATGCGTATTCCAAGTGCATACATAATTACATGTCATCATATGCCATGTATAGTATATATATATAGTCTTATGGTGCCGAATCGCGGCCTCCGATCCCAGGCAATCAAAGGGCGTGGATGGCGAAGCCTCCGGTGGAGCAAATCGATGGCAACCACCATCACCCAACACGGTTTAACTACAGGAACCGGAACCATGGTCTTCCCCATCGAAAAAATGGAGTTTCCATGGGTTTCCTTTAAATTGTCCAACCCAAACGAATGACCGAAACAACAACCACTCATCAAAGCTTCATCAATAATTCAATGGATCAACCTACAGGATGGTGCCCCCAGTTATAAGTTGATTCACAACCCCATCCAATAATAATTATAAGTATCATACACTATTGGTATTATAGTTATAAAATCTTCTGAACCAACTTAGCTAACGAACTGGGGCCCCATCCTGTATCTATCGTGTATCTATCTCATTGATTCACATTGATGAACCCCAGTGAAGGAGTACGACTTGACAGGAGTTTCTGAGTTGCCCAGCCATGGGCCGGTGCCGCGACTGTGGCACCTGCAGATTTTTCACAAGTGGATGGCCCCGATGACCCCTCGAACCGGGGGGTCCATTCTTGAACAGAATCATGTTCCGTCTACCGTTTAATATGTTCAATGTAGAGGGACCTGCCACAAAGGCTCAGATTGGATTCCCACTTGCTCTGAAAAACCTGGGGCCCGGTTGCATCCACAAGCCTGACTCCGGCCATTTTTTCCAGGGCTCTATCAATTGAAGCGCGCTCTTGGCACTTGAAGCCGACCAGTGGTTGGCCGAGGAAAACCAACTGCTCCGCGAATTTGCACATCTACCAACATCAACAGGTGCAGGAATGCCCCATTGAAGTTGAAGGAATCATGGTGAATGCGCCAAGGGCCCCAAGGGGTTCCGGTACATCCCAGAGTCTTTCCAGGACCTTCAGACCTTCACTTCACCCTTTTAGGCGCAGCTACTTACTTTGTACAATGCGTACAGCCTCATAGCATCTCATGTCTGGGTTCCGTCTCATCTGGATCCTTGTTCCCAACCTGGGCAGCGCAACCCATCTGCACTGGGTTGATTCAAGGAGAAACCTACAGGAAACCATAGAATTTGGAAACCGAGAAGGGGGCATTCCAATAATTCTGGAACTTCTAAACCAGTAGAAACACTGTAAACCTGTACTGTAAGCCTTGTTTGGCCACAGTAAACCTTTACTCTACTCTCTCTCTCTCTCTCTCTCTCCATCGCCTTCTCAAGGAGTTCAGCAGAGCTAAAGGCGAGTAACTCTCTCCATCGTGGTTTACCTTTACTAGTCTCAACTGTTTGACTTTGCTGTCAAATATTGCGGTCATAGTGGTTTTGATGCTTGACAAGTCCAACGTATTGAACAAACATTAGAATGAAAAAATAAACCGAAATGTGAATAAGCATATTAATGTATTATGATATATGTTGTATTGTAATTATATATTGCAATCTATAATAATTAATGATATATATATACATCACCATCCCAAGGCTTTGCCATGCTGTATCCCACCTGGCTCGTTCGATGGTCCACCACGGCCGCCACACAGGCATCGCCGTAGACGTTGGCGCAGGTGCGAAGGCGGTCCAGCAACCAATCGATGGCGCTTACCAGACCAAAGGTCTCCTAAAGGTGGCCATTGAAGTGGTTGATACATATGTATGTATGTATGTATGTATGTCTGTATGTCTGTATGTCTGTATGTCTGTATGTCTGTATGTCTGTATGTCTGTATGTCTGTATGTCTGTATGTCTGCATGTCTGCATGCCTGCAAGTCTGCATGTCTGTATGCCTGTATGTCTGTATGTCTGTAAGTCTGTATGTCTGTATGACTGTATGTCGTGTGTCTGTGTGTCTGTATGTCTGTATGTCTGTATGTCTGTATGCCTGTATGTCTGTATGTCTGTATGTCTGTATGTCTGTATGTCTGTATGTCTGCATGTCTGTATGTCTGTATGTCTGCATGCCTGTATGTCTGTATGTCTGTATGTCTGTATGTCTGTATGTCTGTATGTCTGTATGTCTGTATGTCTGTATGCCTGTATGCCTGTATGCCTGTATGTCTGTATGTCTGTATGTCTGTATGTCTGTATGTCTGTATGTCTGTATGTCTGTATGTCTGTATGTCTGTATGCCTGTATGCCTGTATGTCTGTATGTATGTCTGTCTGTCTGTCTGTATGCCTGTATGTCTGTATGTCTGTATGTCTGTATGTCTGTATGTATGTGTGTATGTGTGTCTGTATGTATGTATGTATGTCTGTATGTCTGTATGTCTGTATGTCTGTATGTCTGTATGTCTGTCTGTCTGTCTGTCTGTCTGGCTGTCTGGCTGTCTGTCTGTCTGTATGTAGGTAGGTAGGTACGTAGGTAGGTAGGTAGTTAGGTAGGTATGTATGTATGTATGTAATGTTATATGTAATGTTATTTGTAATGTTATCTGTAATGTTATCTGTAATGTTATCTGTAATGTTATGCAATGAATGTATGTATATGGTGTGTATATATGGTGTATATGTACATATTAAATGCGTAGAGGCGTGGAGGGTGTGTCACGCTTGCCATCAAATCCATGATGTGTTGTAGCGTAAGTTAATACAGTATACATATGTATATAAATGCATTTTTGCATATATGAATTATTATGCATTACTATCAATCATATAACATCTGAAAGCAAGAAAATGTCATTATCAAGTCATGGGGATGTCAGCTATACATAGATATGATGCAACATACAACAATCCTCGATTGATGGCTAGCTGATGAAATCGTACTTCCTTTTGATTGCTATGAATGGCACCTCCTTGTGGCACAGCCCGTCTGCACCAACCATCCCAAGATAAACAAGCTCAAAGGTAATTATATGTACTTATATATGTAGCAATGGCTTGAAACGCCCTTTAAGTTTTCCAAGAGGATTCACAGAAATTGTGATGAATTATGAGTCTATCAAGGGTTTCTTGTCAAACTCCACAGCCAATCAGCCAAGAACTACGCCAAATCCAGGAAAGTGTCGGTCACTGGGATGTTGAGCATGGACAGAAGCGTGGCCAATAGTACCAGGCTAGCGCTGGGTACCGGTGCCGTGCCCATAGTACACAGGGTGGCCATGGCGCACAATACCACGATGTCTCCAGGGGTTAAAGAAATGCCCTGCATCAGAGCAATGCACACCTGAGCAGGATGGGAAATGATGGGAAGGCCATGCAAATTATCCCAAAGATCATCAAAAACCCATAGAATTTTGCAGACTATTGGTGGACTTTCGCACACCCAGTTTGAGAAACCAAGTACAGAATCTTAGTGTGCCCAGGGAGTGGGCAAGAACTTTCAGGCTTTCAAGTCCACCATGCCATAAGATATAGAACACGAGCCAGAAGGCCAAAAGCCTAATTGTCCAACTCACACCAAGAAACCGTGCAGCAAATCAAATAAATGCTATTGCCATCCATATTGATAGTTGCCCCTAGGTTCAGTGCCAGCTTCGCCACATGCGGCCTCAAACCGTTCTCCTCAGCTGCTTGGAGATTCAAGGGCAGGCAGGCTGCAGATGAACAGCTGCCCAGGGCAGTAAACAAGGCAGGCAAACAGCTTCGGAAATAGGTCACCGGATTACGTCTGGCACCCAGCACCAGCAACATAGGACAAAAGAGGAAGATGTGCGCTGCTTCTGCTGCCAGCACGCAGCCCACCAAGGCAGCCACAGAGGTGCCCATTTCGCGCAAGTTGAAGCGAGCCGAGCCAGCTAAAACCAAGCTACAAACACCCACTGGGCTCAAGAGAATCAGGATTTTTATGACTTTGCTGACAACCTCATTCACCTCATCCACCACCTCCAGTGTGGTGCTCCTGCGCCCATCTGCCTTGCAGCTTGGAAGCAGCAGCCCCAACAGCACCGAACTCACAATCACCGACACCAGGCGATTGGCCGCAGCATCTGCCACCAGATTTTTGGGCACCAGTTGGTCAAAGATATTCAACACTGCCTCCGTCACTGTCATCTGCTGCATCCCTTCCTCCTCGGCCGTGAGCCCCTCCAATGGTGCCACCGTCCAGCTCAGGAAGCTGAGGGAGATAGCCGCGCCCTCCACGGCAGCCACGACGGTGGTGAAGCCGTACAAGCACAGCAGCCACGCTGCCACATCTCGGGCTCCGGGCAACTCGCGCATCAGAGCCATGGACTGAACCATGCCACAGGCAATCAGCGGGAGCACTACGCAGGTCAAGGCTTTCAGCCAGAGTTTCCTGGTGGAGTTGGGGTGTTCATTTGTTCCGACACCGGCCAGAAAAATTGGGTGTGAACATGTATTAATAAACTAGAAAGTTGCGGTATTGAAGAATGTAGAAAATACATTGTAGAAAAAATAACGGGTACATTTACACACACATATATATATATGTACATTATATACAATATCATACAATATATTGAGCCAAGATTCCCAGGAAAGGCCAGGACAGACATCACAGACTCATCTGGTTTCAGCTCTGCTAGTAGGACCCCCAGAGACAAACCCAGTAGCACAGCTACTGAGACCTTGGCTGGCACCATGGGTACATGCAAAAAATAGTGGGTTCAAACCACATGGTGTTAATCTTTGAAACACCTTGAACCACCAAATGAGTCCACTGAGTGTTAATTGAGTTGGCGTTCATGTTGAATCAGGATGACATGATTTGTGGTTTCCGGCAGTTTCTCCCCTCAAACGGTTCTGGATGAATCTGGGACTCAAGTCAAGATGCTTGTGCCCCTTGGCCGCAGCAGCTTCGACATTTTCGACGCTCAGCATCCATGAGCTTCAACTTGGTCGCCGATGCCCTTGAGCCAGGATCCACAGCTGACGGGTGCCGTCGAAGCCATTGGAAAAGGCAAAATGGGCAACTCTTGCTGCGCAGAGTCATGTTAGTGTCTGAAAAGCTAAAAGAAAATCGCTCAATCCAATCCGTGAGCATGATCTTTGGGTGAAATTTGCCGTGTAACTGCAAGTCTGTTCATGTACCAGTGGGTGTATGATGCAACATATCAAATTCTGAATCAAAAATTAGCACCCCGCATCCCTTCGCAGGACCACTGCCTCCGGGAAATCCAGTGGTGGGAGCAGCGAGACCTCATGGGCCATGGGCCAAAATATATGCCTGTTTGCCTGGCTGTTCGTCCATCCATCCATCCATCCGTCCATCCATCCATCCATCCATCTGACCATCTGACCATCTATCTATTGATCTAATCTATGTATGAAACTATCATAATCTATCTATCCTATCGAATCGAATCATACCTTATCTCATCCTATGTTGTCTGTCTGTCTGCCTGCCTGCCTGTCTGTCTATCGATCCATCCACCCATCCATCCATCCATCCATCGATCCATCTATCTACCTATCTATATCTAATCTAATCCAAACCAATCTAATCCAATCTAATCTATCTATCCATCTATCTGTGCTTATCTCTGCTCATCTCTGCTTACGGTATCTATGCTTATCTGTGCTTCTTTATGCTTCTTTATGCTTCTCCATGCTTGTCTCTGCTTATCTATGCTTATCTATGCTTATCTGTGCTTATATCTCTGTGCTTATCTATGCTAATCTATGCTAATTCCTGCTAATCTATGCTAATTCATGCTAACCTATGCTAATTCTGCTTCATGCTAATTTATGCTAATTCTGCTAATCTATGCGGTACGATGGCCTGCCATTCTATTCTTTTCTTTTCTATCTTATCTAGAGGCATGAACATAGAGCAGTTGCTTCGGCAAGTTCTTCCGAAGGATCCATCACCCAGGCGCCATTGAGCTGCCGACCAGTGATGGTCCCCGGGAATGATGGGACGATGTGCTGCCCTGCGATGAACCCATATTTTCAGACCTCCCAATTTCATCCAACTTCCTGAAAATGTGCCATTGAACATCATGAATCATTAAACTTGAAACCAAGTGGGGACATCTTCAATGGGGTTTGCCCGACCACCGGGGGACCCCATAAACCATAAACATCCATAAACCAAACATGGGACACCGTGGGACACCGTGGGACACCGTGGGACACCGTGGGACACCGTGGGACACCGTGGGACACCGTGGGACACCGAAGGCCAGGCGATTCATCTGACCTGGTCATGAAAGTGATCATTCTGATGCATGGCACCCATGGCACTCATGGCGCCCACCGGCAGGGCCTTAGGAAGGCCGCAGCCGATGCAGGGCAGGGAATTTGAGCAATGAACCAATCGGATACCATGGAAAGAATAAACACCAATGGAGAAATCAATGGAAAAACATAAATCAATGGAGAGCAATGCATAATAAGAATCAATGGGATTGACAAGCAATGGAAACAATAAAAAACAATGGGAAAATCAACCAATGAACACTTAATTAATCAGTCAAGTGGAAAATGTTACCAGCAAAAAATGCGGGCATAACATTATATATATATATATATATGTTCATGTAGTTTCTAGAGACCGTGAAGAGAGATATTATCATGTTAAGTGGGATATTCGATGGATTTAGTGTGATATATTCCACAATTAGTGATCTTTAGTGCGGGATTTCCATGGAACAGCTCCGCAAGGCTCCCCGCAAGCCTTGAACCCCGAAAAAACCTACCGTGGCCTCCGGGCCCCCGCACAGGAACCACACGGCCAGTGGGCAGGGGATCTACTCCCTGGTCCACAATGGTTGATTCATGAGGGGTTTCCAGTGGCTTGTGAGAATACCCAATTCATTTGAAGATTTTGAAGGGTATGTTGGTAGCCCCCGAAAAAATCATCAACCAGGTGTGTGAAAACCGTCAGTTCTACACCATCACCCTGCGAACCTGCTCCTCGTGGACGTTCAGTGATGCCTCAGGGTGGCTATGACTGGATCCGCACATATGCATCGGTCAGGCATGGTCATGGGGTGCCCTTTTTCATGGGATGGCCTATACACCAGGTGAAGAAATCCATGTCGTCTTTTGGCCAATATTCACAGTTACCACGGTGTGGATGTGCATGTTTGGCTGAGGATACTACTGTCAATAAATTTGCTTCGTGTCCAGTGTGTTACAAATTGTTCATATTTAAGTGGTACCATGAAGAAACGCCATTCAACGCAGAGACTGCATCAAGGGGATTACCCAGAAAGCCAGTAAATGGTTGACACATGGGCTATAACCGCATATGACTGAGATAATGTCACGGATAGTTTTGCATTATCATTATTGTTAATTATTATTATTGTTATTAGTATTGCTGTTATTATTACTATTATCATCATTATCATTAATTATTATTGTTATGTGTGTATACATATCATAGGCTAGGCCTAAAAAGATGATGGCATAATCATTGCTCAAGATTGCTCCAGCTATTTTGGAAGCGTTTACATACATATATATATATATAAGTCTAAGAGTATTTATATATTAGCTTCAGGCACTATCCAAGCCGTGATCTACCGGGCAGCCGCACCATGAGAGACCGGGAGAGGGGCGTGCGCCCTGCCTGAGTGACCCGTGACCAGTGAGGAAAAGATATGTCATCTTCGTTCATCTTCCACAGCATGGTCCAAATTCACGTTTGGAACACTTCCACGTTATGGGATGTACACTGCCTGGATCTTCCAATAACCACTAAAATCACTAAAAAGTCAAGCGGTATCATCAGCCCATTTTATGGGATGAAAGAACAAAATATCCCGTTTTACTGTTTTTTCTTTGATTTGAATCACATGTTTTGCTGGCGGTATTCCCATAATGTCAATTATTGGATATTATTGCGTGTGCTTGACAGAGAAAACTAGTTTAGCCTATGGACTGCGTCCCATTCACCAATGATTTTCTTGAAACAGGTACAGACATAGTGTTTATAACACTTATTCAAATCTACTAATGCAGGAAACTCAACAATAAATCACCCCCATTCCATCAGGCTGGGATTGCTTTCATCCCCACATGTTAGTTGTTTATGATGTTTATGGCATTGTTTTACCCACATTACAAGATATATAAAATGGTGACCTTTCCCATGGTTTTCCCATGGTTTTCTCATGGTTTTTCCATGGTTTCTCCAAGGTCTCCGCCGGAGAGCTCAGCCGCGGTGGCGATCCCGCGAAGGCCTCGGCTGGACCACTGGAGGATTGGGAAAACAATGGGAGATTTCACGTCAAAAATCGTGAAACATTCTAAAAATGCCCAGGAAAGAAAAACACACTTTGAACCGGAACATTCGGAAAATAGCAAATGCTTAGTGGAAACTAGTCTTCAAAACTGGACCAAACCCCTATTTGGCAGTTTGGGGGAGGTAACTCTGAGATAATCCGAGGTAATCATGATATAATCAATGCTCTATATATCTAAAAAAACCTCCAAGTGTTTAGCCTTGATTGTGTTTTAAAAAAGTTTACCACCCTAACCTAATGTGTTAAATTGTTTCGCGAAACAAAAAAAACATGCGGTAGGTGGTAGATGCTATAATAAGATTGTAAGATTATAACATAACTGAGCAACCTGTGTTTCTACCAGGAAAATGATGAAAAATGAACATCCAATCCAAGGAAAACAAACATTCCCCCGATTTTTGCCCAAATGAAGAGATCCACTACACCAGCGGTTCTGGGGCGGAAGGGGTCCGTGTTTTTGCGCACCGGTTACAAGGAATTTGGGGACTTCACTAATCAATGTGCTAAACCCAATGCCGCAAAGCTCCACTTGCCCATGGTTCCAAGAAATTATATGAAATGCCGTCAATTTCTGGTGAAAGTCACCAAACAGCCACAGGAACACATCAACAGCGTGGCGATGCTGGGCTGTTCCACCCCATTCGTTCTGGTTCGAGCCTGTCAGCTTGAAGTTCGGGTGCCGCAAAAGGATGCCAACATATGCCAAGCTATGCAAATGTAGGATCTAAGTTCAATGATCTTCAAAGCACCAATGATTTGGTGTGTCGAAAAAGTGTAGTATATGAAATTGCCCCCAATCCACTGCTGAATCAAAGCTGGCGATATAAGATGCCCATGTTCTTCGATGATTTTCCCATCTGAGGCACGGGCCATGCCGGGAGTGGACTCCATTGGTGAAGTGGTTTCAACCTCCATGGCGCGAGTTGGAACAGTTCACCATGGATCTCTAGGCTGGTGAAAAGCCACAAAAAGAGCTGGGGATGCTGATCTGTATATGATCTATGAATTCTAGAAATGTAACTGATGCAACTTACCTAGAAAAAAAACAGTGAAGGTGGAAATCCCATCTACAAGTTCTGCATAGTTCTGCTATGCGCTAGGTTGAATAGATAAAATTAGATAAAAATGCGCTACAATTGCGGACATCATCCCAAAACAGCATTTAAAAAAGCATCCCAAACAGGTTCAACAACACTCTCAACATCTCTCAACAGTCCAGTGTCCATCCCCTTGGGTCCCCAATCCCCGGGGGACGGTGGCAATCTGCTGTTGCCATGCAGGTTCCGCCGTTGCCGGCGTTCGGCAGGCTGGGGCCGATCCAAACCAAACCTTGGCACCATGGAAGTCCATGGAAGTCCATGGAAGTCCATGGAAGTCCCCAATTTTGGTACCGAATAGCGAATCACACGTTTTGGCCGGATGCCTTTAGTATCTTTAATTGATGACCGCAGCTCAGGAACACCATGAAGAGGTCAGCCACCTTTTCATCCGCATCCTCATGGCCCACGCGTTGAAAGAGCCTGGTGCGCCCATCATGGCTACTGGTTGACCAGTTGTCACGAATTGGGATATGGAAAATCTATGAAAATCTCCGATGTGGACATCTTTGGCATGTTGATATATGTTGATCATGTTGAGTTGCGACCCATCATGACCCATCAATACCTTCTTGAGAAGATCCAGATTTCCAACATCCCAGTGCCGCGCCTTGACAAAATGCTGGCCGTGATGGCTGAGGGTTTCAAACCCTTGTTGACCATCTCAGCGAAGAGACCGCAGCCTGGCCGAGTCTAGGACCCGCACAGTAACATTTACCCTCTGGTAAACAAACATAGCTATTGAAAATGGCCATTTACAGTGGATTTACCCATTAAAAATTGTGATTTTCCATAGTTATGTTAGTTTACCAGAGGGTAATCAGCAAATATCAACAAATATCAACAACACTGGTCTGCGAGTGTCTGATGTATCTGTACCATCAATTGTGTTCTCATCCGAACTTCAGCCTCTCCTTATGGAGAACATGAGTCGGTGACACATGCGGCCCGCAAGATCCAGCGCCCTGCCATGCGCTGCCTGCTTTCCAATCGTCTGCCTTGACGCAGCCTGCAAGATGAACTCTGGACTCTGAACCATGCTTGACTGCTTGACCAGTCCTAATATGACCTTGACAGCGAACTCCAAAATCCAAGGCCCCAACTTGCCAACAGCCTATTTACCGCACCATGTCCCAGCCACTGCCTTCCATCAATGTATTGTACACCAGCTCGTCACATCGCAATGAGTGCTCTTTCATCTCCTGGAACATGCACAGTGCCTCAGTGTAGCCGCTCTGGCTGCAAAATGCTACGCTGCTGCAAGCATAAACTCGAACTGCTAACTGCAGTGAAACATCCATATGAAGAATGGATTTTGATGAACATTGGCCCAAACCTCCCCACAATGTGACCCCGTGATGCTCCGAAGTTTGCGGAAGGCCGCCTTCAGCAAATCACCATTCTGACAGTAGCCCTTCAGTACTGTTGAATAACCTCAGCACGTCATGGAGTCATGGCAATCCCAGCTGGTTGTCCTAACACGCCAACATGCCCCAAACCACAGAGCAGGGGGAAAAAAAAGTAGGAATCTGACCGGGCCAAGGAAAATCCGCGAGTTGTAGCCATTTGAATATGCAGATTACCGAGGATAGAAGGCATGCATGCATCTGGACCAGTCTCCAAAAGGTCGCCAACTCTTACCCCTACATTGGAGCAGGGTCGCTGATGAGGTCCGGCTCGATATCATACTCCGTCTGGACCATTTGGTCCAAGATCTCCTGCGTTCAAACACTTGGGGAGGCCTCAACAAGGATAGGGTCCGCTGCTGCGCAGGTCAAGTAGGATTTGGTCCCAAAATGTCCCAAATCTCTGTGGATTCATACGCCATCAGACTGCCATCAGACTGCCTACACCTTCGAGCCACACGATTCAACACGTCTCTCCATGCGCCCGCCTCGGCGGAGGTCACATCTCCACATTTCACGCAGGCCTCCAAGATGGAGTTGTACGTGATGGTGTTGTAAGGCACCTGGCCGTGAAGCAACGCATTTGCAAAACAAGGCTGCGGAAACCGACACACAACCCGTTGCACAGGGATTTTCTTATGATCTCTATAGGTGCATATAGGTGCTATAGGAACTGCATAAAACAACAGCAGCAGCAGCAGCATCATGATGAATCATCATCATCATCATCATCATCATCATCATCATCATGATCATCATCATCATCATCATCATGATCATGTTCATCATGATGCTGGTCCTCATCCTGAACAGTTGCACCATCAGATCATCAGATCATCATCTCCTCCCTATTCGCTCATCGGGGTCTCCGGAAATCGGAGCCGAGATGCTCCTTCATCCGGCATTTCATGGAAAAGTTCCAAGGCATTGTCCAAATCCTTGTGCAAACCATAGCCTGGCGCAGTGGCACTGCAACGAGCAAGAAGGATCTCTCTCCGCCATCTCCAGGAGTCTAGCCAAAGGCAAGAAGGATGGGACACGCAGTTTTCATTAAAATTTCATTTGTTTTCATTAGTTTTCACTTTTTCCACCGTTTTTCTGTGTCCTCTCACAATGACTCGACTCGGCAGGGCAGCCTTTGATCATGGTGGTGTACAGAATGGTGTTCCGATGCTTCCCCGTCGAACCTCAGGGACAGTCTGTACAGGTCTGCAGAGGTCTGTATAGATCGGTAGAGACCTTTCCGTGCCAGGATTGGGCTTGCCATGTGCAGAAACACAATGTGATTCCTAGATATTCCTAGGTCATTAGCTTGGTTTAAAGGAAAATCCGCCAGAAAACTATACAGTAAATTGTACCATCAAGTACGGTATATCCAATCAAATTCTACCAAAGCCTGGGTTTCCTGGCGTTTATCCTTCATATCCTTCAAACCAAGTCTGTGATTGCTGACCTATGGTCCCCAATTACCCTTGGCACGCACCCCAAGCGCGACCAAGGCGCGCATTCCTCGGAAGACCTCCACAGCCTTCTCCAGGTTGCCGCATTTCACGCAAGCGTCCAACATGCAGCCGTAGGTCACTGAGTTGGCTAAGCCACGCTGCTCCTACGAGGATGTGGAATGATGTGGAAAGTATTCAAGATTCTGAAGCTACTAGTATATACAAGTAGATAGATGTATGCTAAAAAAAATGTTTGATCATTATTGCTGTATATACCGTACCTACTGCGTCTATGCATCATCATCATTCATCGTTCATCGTTCATCGTTCATCGTTCATCGTTCATCGTTCATCATCATCAACAACAACATCATCATCATCGTCGTCGTCGTCGTCGTCGTCGTCATCATCATCATCATCATCATCAATTGGCAATTATCATTATGAATATATATATATATTATCTGTGTGTGTGATTATGTGTGTGTGTGTCCGTCTATGTGTGCATGTTATTGCACCGTTTCTTTTAACAGGTCTATCTCTCTATATGCTATGCGTTTGTGAAATCTCCCGATGCTTCTTAAAAATACGAGCCCCGAAATCGCTCAGGTTTCAGCGGCAACGGCAACGATTTTTCCGGAGCTCCTCCATCTCATCCCATGCTGCTAAGACTTTGTCGAGGTCTCCTGCCTGTCCATAAGTCTTCACCAAAATGCCTTGGCCCGGCTGTTCACAGATCTTAACGGATGATCCAAGGATGGCCAATAAAATCTATCGGTTTTGAATGGGGGGTTAAGCAATGAGCTGATTTGTGGTCGAGCCGCGCCATACAAAATATGATGGTCAATTGGAATGTCTTGTCGCGAGTGGGCATTGGGGGATGGAATGAAGCAAGTATTCGAATTGCTGAACCAGCGGCAAGTAACAGACATATATATATATATATGTATATATATTATATATATATATATAGTTTCCGTGGAAACCTATGCATAGGGCTCTTGCACAACGTGTAACAACCGTTTTATAAGTAATTGCATCTGGATGATCCCGGAAGCAGCCAACAAAATCCGCCAAAGAAATGGAGATGGTCCACTGCCTGCAGGCTTGAGATATGCTGATCCATCCTCAAGATTCCTTAAGTATGTTCCATTGCCACCCTGATTGGCCAGCACCGGTGCGCACACTGCGTCATGGTGCCCAATGTGATTGGAGATGGCTTCACTTTCAAACGACGCATCCAATTCACGCAGGACTCCAATCGCTTTAAGTCCTGCAGCCATCTCAAAGAATAAGCAGCACACAATAATTGGGGGAAAAAAGGAGCGGGATAACCAGGATCAAAACGTACCGCGTACCGCTAGTACCGCGTACCCTTGTTAAACTCAAAATCATTGGCAAATTCATGTTCATCTCGCTAAAACTATCTAAAACTGATATCAAATCGTCAGACCCATACCCTTATCATCACTGGGATCTGACCTGGCCAAATGACTCCTGAAATCGAACGAAAAACAAGCACTTTTCTTTCAATACGTCCAGCAACTGGTGGTTTTGGCATGGGCAGGTCTATGCAGGTTTCCTTCAAGATCACTTCTGACCAAATGTGTCAAGTTTAAATGGCCACAAAAAAATACACCAAGAGCGCAAGGAAAATTTTGGAGAAGTAATAAAACACAGTATTTTCGGGGGTCGAATCCTTACTGTGCTGCGCTTGTCACCAACCCGTCCTTAAGCCGGCAGCAGGTATCGAGGAGAGCGTTGAAAAGGACTTCATCAACATCCTGCAACGACTGCAGCCCAGGCAATCTCTAGCTCTCCAAATCTGCATGTTTGATCTATATTGACATTATATTGACATGTTTTATCTTTCTTGGGCTTTTCACTTGGAAACATCTTTTTTGGCTCAGCCAGTCATGACCTTCACCCAGGCGTCCTCCGGCTGCATCTCGATGAAGCGTTCCACCAAGGCGATTCCGCGGTAGGCGCGAGAGGGGTCCAGGTGGGCTCCATCGCCTACGGTCTTCATCAGCATCCGGGAGACGGTGTACCTGGCCAGACGGGACGCGGATAGAACGTTGGGCCAAATAATGTCGGAACAAATAATAACATGTATATATATATATATTACATAGAAAAGTCAAGTTTGATTTTGGGGATTTCTTGCCAATTTCGATTGAGGAGTGGTTCTGGAATTCTTCCTCCAATTTCGGAAGTCCGGTTGCTTGTCCCGCGTATATATGTAGAGATGATAACGGCCCATCACCGTAGTAGCTACAGCCCCAATTTAACTGCTATTTTTGTGCACTAGACGTGTCCCTTCGGCCCATGCCATGTGCCAGCAACAGCCACAAGTTGTGTTGAAAAACAACTTAGCTTCGTTGATGGTGGTTTATCAGACCTAAGATCTATAATTATCTACATAGAGTGGTTCCATAGAATTCCATAGGTCCGTGATAAGTTCTGGGTCTGGCTCAAATTCATTGTGCTTCGTTCGAAAGATGAACAACTCATCTATGGTATGATTTTCGAGGTCTGAGTGCTCAAAATTCTGCAACCCCTCGCCTCTTGGGGGCGCAGTTCCGGTTGTAATTGATTGGATGCATAATCGGACTAAATCATACTGATAGCTGATGGGGATTAAAATCCCATACTGTATGTATATATTATCATCGTTGTTATCATTTATGATGATCCATTTAGTATTGTTATACGACACGATGTATTATGCACTCATTTATATATGTACTCCCGTTTTTCAATGTGTTTTATGTATTTGTCACTATGATTATGACCATTGATGTTATCTGCACCAGTGCCCCGATGTGCCCCACAGCAGTCGCAGCAGTTCACTTGTCGGTGGTCTTTCCCTCCACGTGCATCTGCTCCAAGGCGTCCCACGCCTCATCGACGCCTCGATTTTCAGTACGAAATTTGGTCGAAATTTCCACAGCAGCAACCGACCCCTCTTTTGTAGTAGGTATGCATATAACATGTATATATATATATATATACATACGTATATATATATAATATACACACCTGGCATCTCTATCTATCTATCTATCTATCAATCTAATCTAATCTAATCTAATCTAATCTATATAATCTAATCTAATCTAATCTAATCTAATCTATCTATCTATCTATCTATCTATCTATCTTGTTTGTATTGATGTATTTATTTATAATTACATTACATATCTATATATTTGTTGATTGATTTGGATGATGTTGGATGCACTTCTATATCATTGGCTTAGAGGAAAATGGTAAAGGAAAATGGACAGGATCCACTTCCAATTGGATACACAGTATCTGCAAAGGCAAGGATAGTCTTCTAATTATTGTCTGCTGTGATTTTACGATTTACCAATGGTATGCAGTATCACGAGATCGGATAAAATCATTCAAGCTGATGACTGCCGCAACACGAGACATTTTGTCATCACCAATATTCACCAACCTCGAATCATTTCTTGTTCGTTGGACGTGCAGCGCTAGTGACGAGGAGACACTTGAAACAACTTGCAGTTGGAAATGCGGAAATCCACTAAAATCCTTATTTCGAAAATTGCAGACAATCTAAAACAGTGAAGTTGTTTCATGTGTTTCCGCGTTTCATTGCCGGAGTCAATTGATTCATCTCTGAGAATTTTGGAAAGAAACCATGGTCTTTACCCCTAAACGTAAAAGGGTGGGTCTTAAGTCTTACGGTCCTGCATTTGTTTTCCATGTTTTCCATTCAATCACTTGGGACTTGGGACTTGTTGGTGTAACTCACTGCTGCCGGATGCTGCCGGCCTTTTCGTCGCATGACCTCTTCCAAGATGTTGGCTGTGGCGCGCACGTGCTGGCGCAGTGGGGTTGGTACCTGCGAGGTCACTATAGACGGCTTCGTCCTGGAGGTATGCCGATGCCAAATACCCTACAAGTGGTCATTAAAATTGAGGGAAATTGGCCATATCAACAACATGATCTTTGGATTTAATCTTATATTAATTTAAAAAGATTCTCAAAGAATCAGTTGGCTCAACCACGTAAACCCTTTTACCTCGGGCAATGCGATCTTGAGCCAAACAGTTGGCCATGGTATACATTTGTAGACCTGGACCACTGGATGTTTGGCATATGAATGAATTAGTTAAAACAAGTGGACATGTATTAATGTCAGTTCGAGCAAACTGGATTCCTGGGCCTAGTGTACTTTAACATGACCGCATGCAATGGTTATGAATTCCAGTCTACATTGATTGCTATGGAAGCATTTGTTGGTGATACTACATTGCACTACACTGCACTACGTGAGGAGGCATATTACTCGTAATCTTTCTTCTCCCCCTTTTGGCGTTGGACACCTGTACAGACTTGGATGGTGTGATGACCTGGCTGCCACAGAGAACTCCAATGGTTGCGGTGCACAAGTGCATCTCACTCCCAATGGCTCTGTAGATGGCAGATCAAAACATCTCATCCTTGCATCCAGACAGACAAGACAGACTGGCTGTACATAAGGCAACCTACAGGAAGATTATGGACTACGTAGATACCTGGACATTTAGTTGTTGCAAAGCTTCCGGCCATTTTGCCACCGGGAGTGGCTTGGTGAACGGATCAGCTCTTTGCATTGCAGTCTTGATGTAGAGCAACAGGCAATCGTCATTTTCTTTGAAGACTTCATGGATTGAACCTATATTTATGCGGAAAGTCTTATTGAGGTGTCGGAGTTTGGGACTATACCCGGCAGCAACAATTTGGATAACCGCGGAGTTATCTTGATAACACACAAGTTCAACCTGTCTACCAAGAATCGTCTCTAAGAGCTCTTGCATTGGCAGCGCTTCAAGAAACAAACCTGCACCTAGCGACACCATTTCGGCTTCTGTTGTGCTGCGTGCAGTTGACGTCTGCTTGCGGCTAGCCCATGAGAGTGGCCACCATGAATGTGGACCTTCCAATGTCATGATCATGCCGCTTGTTGATTTAGTATCTTCTTGTGCAGAACAGTGATCGGCATCTGTGTAACAACACAAACGCGACAACTCTGGTGGGTCCCTTATATAACCTTTGAGAGTAAACTTTCTAGATCCATAAAGGTAACTCATTCATCTATGGAGGCGCTTATCATCTGCGACACTCCAACACGTCAGTCTACGTGTAAGATCTGAGATAGCTTTATTGAGATCAGGCCTTGCCAATCTGGCACACCACAAGACTTTCATTAGTATGCGAGATGCTTCTGCTGACAATGAACCCTTTACATCCCAATCGGAATCAGTTAAACTCCCATCATTGACATATGGTGAGGCTGCTGGCTTTAGCTTGCGTTTGCTAAGCGTCTCATACAGTTCACAACAGTTATCAATGAATTCGGTCATTTCGAAGGCACAAGTTGTTCCTTCCTTGCTTCTTGAAATGCTATGCTCTCGGCCGAGGATTCGGCTGACTTCAGCTGGTTCATCCAGCTCCAAGTGGCGCTGCATTTCATCCCAAAAGAGCTTATGCTGTGATGAGGGTCCTGATACCACTACATCGTCTACGTAAAGACTCAACAGAAGTTTATATTTTGGGATCCAGAAGTTACTTTGGAAGGTATCGATATGTTTTGCATCAAAGTATGTCATGACTTCTCTAAACCTCATATCCCAGTGATGTCCTGCCTCTGGATGGCCATACAACGACCGCCATAGTCGGACACATGGTCGCTTGATATGTTCGAACTCATCAGGAACCAGTTCAGGACTTAGCTCTACCCAAGTTGGTACTTTTGTTCCCAACCATGATTGAAGGTAAGCACGGACAACATCTGATTGCGTTGTTTTGTGGCCTGGTAAACTTCCATAAGCAAGGTTGGCATTGATGCCAGCCATACCCGTAGGGTTCACTTTTGATTCCAACAAAACCGCAAGATTTCCTTCATTGTCCCTTATGTCATCCCCTCTAAACACTATACGGGCTTTAAGCTTCCTAAGAGCTGGGGTTTCCCAATGTTTGACTGAGAGAATTGTCATGATTCTACCTATATTGATGTGCTCTTTGCGTTTCATGAGCTCGTCTCTAGGCACTACTTCATCATAGTTCCAAGTACCATTCTCCAAGACACCATCCCGTTCTTTCTTGATTGCATCAAGATACCCTTCATGCTTGTGCCAGTCCTTCCTGTCGATCAGGAGGTGGATACCTGCATCAACTTCAACGGCTGTCGGCTGGTGATGTGGTTCTGGCTGCATGGGTTTAACAGGCATTGAAGGTACTATCTCGGGGTACAAGGAATGACTAATGCATTGTGCCATTTCATCAGTATAGAATGCAGATTTGGGTGTTTTGGAACCTGCCAGGTGCGAATGCTTGAAATCCGGTGGATGACTGCATTTGTACGCATCAAGGTTTCTTGCCAACTGATACGAACTTGTTACAATCCTCCAAGGTTTATAATGGGGGTTCCCCTCATTACCCTTTAAACCGAATGCACATCCGTCTGGCTCGGCGACAAACAAATCATGCTTCTTAATGAACTTTACAAGCTCTGGAATTGACCAACCAGAACATCCTCTGGGCCACTCAAAGCACACATGTCCTCCATCTAGCAAAACCTGCTCTGCGCAGCGAATGTAGTTTTTCAGGATTTTCATGGACTTCTTACGTGCGACTTTGAGCCTCTTTGCATACCCTTTACCACCTTTTGCAAGATTCACGTCCTGCCAGCGGGACCAAGGGCCGCAAGGAATTGAACCCCAAAGGTCTGCTCCTGGGAACAACTTCATGACTTTCAGCAAGTCTCGTACTTCTTCATCATCTGCCATGTCCGAAGACTTTTCTGTCAAACGGAAGTGTTCGATGTTTCTTTCCTCGTTGGCTTTGCCGAGTGCGGAGTCTTCAGAACAACAAAATTCAAACATGACTTTGGAGTTTGACCCTCTGGCTTTTCTAGCTTCGGACGGCTTAACCTGTTCTACACCTTTGGCAGCCTGCTGGATTTCTGCAGCAAGACTCGGGTGATCTAGGCTGGCACTAGCTAAGAAATGCTCACTCCTTTTGGCGAACCTTTTGGAGGTTCCATCGGATCTGGCTATGTTGGCTTGGCATGCTTTTACTTGTGCATGATCATAGTCAACCCTTTTATTTGGGAAAAACCATGTCGCCCCAATCCAACTTTTAGATGAAATTCTTTGGTGTGGGTGTACTTGCCAATTATCTTTATAAACCGAAACAACACCTTTGCATTTCCATTCTGTGACACGTTGTGGACCGATTTCATCTGCACTGAAAGGGCAGTCCTTGCCTACAGGAGCATAGAGTCTTTTTCGGGGTCTAACATGATTCATTTTCCATGCTGATTTAAGATCATCATATTCCCAAAAAATCCCCAGGATTACCATCATCTGAGCTTCTCCCATGGTCTTGCTCCCCCGGTGCGGCGTGGCAACTGGCAAAGAATGCTTCGACTTCCAAGGAGTTTTGTGGATGTGGCGCACAAGTGCGACTCACACCCTGCTCAGCTGACGGCATTGCTGGAGTTCTTGGTGCTCCAACTGGCGTGTCTGGTGCAGGCGTATCAGGAACTGAAATTCCCCTGGCGGAGGCTTCTTTGGCCATACGATCCTCTTGCAACAGAGTGCGAAACCTTTCATGGCAAGCATCTGAGTGAGGAACGCCCTCAGCAATACGGTCACAACCCTTACACCCAATTGTTTTACCATACTTAATTGCACGTTCCAGTGTCACATACGTCTTACGTTTGCGAACAGCTGGAGGCGGGGCTGGCCCTTCGAAAGGCAAGGCTTCTCGCTCGGCAATGGATGGCAACTTGACTGAAGGTTGAAACAGATTCAACTTTGCAACCGATGCTTCATACAGAGGAAAAATAAAGTTCCCTTCGGATGGTTCAACCAACTCTGTGGAATACACTTGGATAGGTCGGCCAAACCCTTTTGATTTTGTTCGGAGGTTTTCATAGTCCAGGACTAGATGAACATTTCTATGCACAAACCCCGCATCAACCCTCCATCCCACGAATATACCAGGAAAAGTTCTTGGGCTAAACGCTGGCAATTCTCTATGTTTCGGGGGTTTATAATAGACCAAGGCACCCAACGGAATTCTCAGGCCTGTGAATGGCGAACCGCCATTTGCAGCTTCATAGCATGTAAGCATGGACTTTTCCGTCTTGACCTCATCCTTTTCATTAGGGTGTATTGGCGCAAGAGTGCTAAAGCTACGTGCTACGCAGAAGTATTCAACACTTCTGGGCCACAAGTCATGAGAAAAACCTGCCTTAAGGTGGATTGACCTCACACCTTCTTTGATGGATCTAATGATGCGTTCTAGTTTGGCATTATGGTAATCATCATTTGGGATTCCCGGATCAGGTAACCAACCCAGATATTTAACCGCTTCGACCAATTCTGTGGCGCAGTCAGTTTTGACGTTGCACAAGGCTTTGCCATGCGCTCTTGTCCCGCCGAACTTTTGCAGTGCCGCGATGTTAGCATCAGTGGTTCTATTTGTTTGAGGGAACCCCTGCAAAACCCCACTGTACTCATCGTAACAAACAAGACATGCCCTTTCCCCTTCTGACCCTTTTGTCAGATCTTCCCCCAAGATTATGTGGTCCGCACGAAGTTGATGGCCATAATGCAGTGGTGGAGCCTCTTCCGGGTCTACCTCAAGGTCCCTTTTTCTGTGGTACCTAGCTGTCATTTTGGCCCTACGGCAAACTTCACAGTATCTATTTTTAGGGAAATGGGTTAAAGCATGTTTGAGAGTTTTGGATTCGGCTTGCAACTTGTCCCGTACCGACGGTGTCCAAGGGTTTAATTCCTCATCTTCAGAATCTAATGCCTTATCAGCATCTTCTTTTGAAGGTTCTTTTGCCATGATTATTTCATCGTCCCCAGCCCCAAAGTGTGGCACATCTGCCTCCCTTAAAACCAAAAGTTCCTCTGACCTCGGAAGATCATCTGGCCTTCTCATTGGTTCGTCCTCATGCGTTTCTCGCCTTGGTGGACCGGGAAATGGAACTGGAGCTTCAACTGGCATGTCCCTAGAAGAGCTGCTGCCGCCTGTTGATGCCGGCATGGCAATTGTCACAGATTCAGAGATTATTGGAACATTTTCTTGAACCCTATCAGCGTAGATTTTGGCTGACTCCGGCACATGATGGACAATGTCCTGCACTCGATCGGCTTTTACCAAATAAGGCAACTGATTTGGAAACCATATGAAAGGTCTTTGATGTTCATTCACCTGAATTCCTACGGAAAGAGCGTGTGGACAATCCTTTAACGTATAGAACGTGTTGTTACCTGATAATGACCCTTGGAGATTTAAGGCTTTCGAACTTGGCTTAACTCCCCCCCCAGTGGCGAACTGGATCCTTTCAGGTGCATCGATGACATGTTCTTTGAACTCTTCTGGCATCGTGCGGAAGGAAATTAAGTTTCTACCAGCCCCTGTATCCAAAAGAAACTCTTGATTCACCTCAGGCACAACTGGATTGACACAGGCTGCAATGGCTGTGAACACTTTGACTGCTTTTTCGAACATTCCGACTCTTGGGATTTTAAGTCTGGGATTAGGCTTTTGAGGTTGTGGCTTCAAAAACTCCCTGCATGCACGTTTGGCTTTATTAAACACCCCATTGGTAAAGGTCTCACCCTCTGAAGGTTGTACAACTCTTGGCTGCTTTTCCGACTCGGATGCATTGACCCCAAACTTCCCACCCTCGGCCTGATGCGGCGCATGAGTGCGGCTCACATCTTGACCGGAGCAAGGTTGGACCTGGGATGCCACAACAGTCGCGGCTGCCACAGTTGCTGCGCCAGCACTGGAAGACGTGCCCTTTCCAGCAAGACCCCTAGGCTTATCCCCCTTATACAGGTTATTGGGGTCATGGAGATACGGACATTCGTTTCCTTTGTTGCAACTATTGTACGCGTAATACATACATGGAAATTTCTTTCGGTCACCCTCTTTTACCTTTTTACCCTTTGGACTCTTTTCATCCTTTTTGTTACCCTTACCTGAACTTTTGCCTTTAGCAGCGGCAGCTTGGACATCTGAAGGTTGTGCATCCTTTGAATGCTTTTCCGACTTGCCCTTGGGCTCCCTTTTGTTTTTGTCAGGTTTGTCAGGCTTAGAGTCTTTTGTGTCCTTTTGTTTGTTTTTGTTTTGGTCATCCTTCTGCTTCTCTTTGATCGGCTTCGAAGGTGCTGCATTGGCATCCTTACTGGATGATGCAATGTTTGCCAAGGACTTCTCAATGCTAGCTGTATTCTCCTCCAACTGGTGGATTTCAATGGCTTCTACGAGTTTATCATATAACCAAAGATAGCTACGCTTTGACGATGTCCCGGAAGAATTTCTAAATCTGTCGATGGCCAACTGCAATTTGGGGTGAGATTTCAACTGCTCAAACAAGAGGCTCCTAAGTGACGAATCTGAAGGCCGATCACTGACCTCCAAGGCTTGCCAAATGAAGTCAAACTTGTTACGGAAATCTTCGAGTGCTTTGATGTCTGAACCCTGCATTTTCAAATTGAGAAGGTGACTTTGAGTTAGGGCTACGCCTCTATCCCTTTCCATCTTATACTTCTCAAAAATGATCCAAAGCAACTGCCTCCCTTTGGGCTGCTTGTGTTTCCTTTGATATGACTCTTGCATGGTTTGGAAGTGCATGGCAAACCGAGTATTTTTACTTAGCTCCAGCAACTTGCTGCCCAAGACACGGTCCAACAGCGGAAACGGCAATGAATCATTTAGGGACTCAAACGCCTTTGGCTTTACGCACTCTATCCATTTAAAAACAGGCTCTTCATCCCCTTTAGCTAGTTTACAGATTAGGTTAAACACCGAGTTTCTAAATGCCCTCGCATCTGATGCCGATTTGGGGAGGTTAGGGATCTTCAGATGATCGTACTGTTTGGTCCGCATGATTTTCTTTTCATACTTGTATGGATTTACAACACGACTCCGATTGCTTGAGGATGATACCCCAGAAGCATTTGACCCCCTTGGCGGTGTGGGAGAACCACTTCCACCGCCCCTGCTTCCCTTACTGCTAGACGACGACGACGAACCAGGTGGTGATTTTGGAGGGGTGGCTATGTCATACTCCTTTGGAGGATTGGGTGACCCTTTATTGGAGCCATTCCCTTTTGACTTTCTACCGCCCCCTTGATTGGATGCAAAACCATGAACAACTGATGCCAATGACTCAACTTTTGCAAACAACTCCTTGCGCTGGGTATCCTTAGGACTATCCCCATGTTGCGAAGGCATGGCAAACAACTGAACTTGTGGGTCTTGCACCGGGCTTGCAACACTCCCTGAACCAGAACTGTGACCCGTCTGTCCTCCGGTGCGTAAATGCAACTCGGAGTCCCGACTTAGTCTTGACTGTCCGATTCCTGAAGCGACTGGTAATTGCAATGGCATTTGAACATCCGTACCATCAGCGGCTCTAGATGTTGGGCTCATAGCCGACTTATTTTGCAATTTGCTTAACAACGACTGCTGCTCATCAACCCTTTGAGTTAAAGCATTAATCATTTTTATTTGTTCAACCGATTTCATGGACAATTCCCCATTGATACGGACCAGTTCAGTGATTTTACCCTCCAAACTTGACACCACAGACTGAGCTTCGAGTTTAATCCTTTGGACCTCGGCTCTAGCTTGGGACTTAGCACTCTCAATCTCTTTTGAAGCATCTTGGACAATCTGGGTTGTACCCGCCCTGGTATCCTCCAATTCTTTCTGAAGTTGAATGGACTGAGCTTGGGATTCCGAAATTGCCCTTCTGGCCTGAGACTGAAAATGTTCCAAGTACTGCATAGCTTCTGTTCTAGTGGAAGTCTGGATATCTTCAACCATCTGAGTTGCTTGTACCTGAAAAAATCTTTGGGACTCTTCCACAGCTTGGATGGCTTGGGATTTTAAACTACTCCTAGCTTCCTCCACAGCATGTGCGGCTTGTGCAACTACAAAAGGATCCATTGAAACATTCAATTCATTTTTGATGAACGTGGGACCCTGAGATTGACCCTGGCTGGATGCGGCTCCCTGCTGACCCGACCTGGTGGATTCATACTGGCCATGAAACGGATTCGAATGAACATGATCTTGTGCTTCTAGCTGAACAGCATTCATATTTGGTGCAATCAACGGTGAAGATTGAGGAGATCCCAAAAACTGAGACAAAGTTTCTGGGCTTTTATAAGGATTACCCTGGATGTCTAGGGTTCCCCCAGCTTCCCCCATGGTATGAACAGCAATCCGATTTTCTGGAATGGCTATCCTTTGATCCCTACTCCCCCTTGGCTCCGGAGTTGACTGCGATGTTGAACTAGAGGTTGTCATCGATTGGGATGGTGTGACAGGATTGGCAACTGTTTGTGCCGCACCCACTTCTAAACCCCTTTGAGATCTAGAACGTTCTGAACTTCCCTCTTGTGAGCTCTGCATTGTGATTTTGGGTTGGTTTGAGAACTTATGCACTTCCCTCCAAAGACCGTTAATCCCCGGAATGTTGCACAGGTTTAGGCACTTCCCTCCAAAGACCGTTAATCCCCGGAATGTTGCACAGGTTTATGCACTTCCCTCCAAAGGCTTTTTAATCCCTGAAATGTTGCACAGGTTTATGCACTTCCCTCCAAAGACTTTTTAACCCCTGGAATGTTGCACAGGTTTGTGCACTTCCCTCCAAAGACTTTTAACCCCTGGAATGTTGCACAGGTTTGTGCACTTCCCTCCAAAGACTTTTTAACCCCTGGAATGTTGCACAGGTTTGCGCACTTCCCTCCAAAGACTTTTAACCCCTGGAATGTTGCACAGGTTTGTCAACACTCTTACCACCTAGAATCTTTTCACCCTAGCAAGGAACACAAAGACAATTGCAACACTTTTACCACTAAGAGCCGTTAACCCAAAAAATGGAATGCCGGTTGCCTGAATGCCCTTCCCACCAAAAGCTTTGACCTAGGATTGGAATGCTAACTGCTTTCACGCCCTTACCACCAAGAATCTTAGACCCCTGGAATGGAGCGCAAACGCTTCTCACCCCCTTTTCACTCACCGGTGCCTGTAACGCCAGAGCAATCGTTCCAGAGGAGCCGCACAATCCAGCAAATAGTGTTGCACGGTCTCAGCTGCTGGGCACTTTGGCTTGCGTCTGATTTGTATGTGGCACGTATGGACTTCTGCTGAGTTCTCACTGATCACTTCGTGATTATCGTCTACCAATGCGCAAGGGATCTGATAGTCGAGGGTATAGCTCTTTATTGTAGCTGCCTTCCCAACCACCCCACAGCGCTCTCGGGTGATAAAAATCGATGTGATGAGGCCTTCGTCCGCAATCTGTCTGTATTGATTGCAAATTCGAAGTAGATTGTCCAGATTTTTGCTTGAATGTTCTATATGAGAAACAATCACGATTGACAAAGCGTCTCTGTGGCCCCACGTCTCTTCTGCCGCCCCTTTGAGACGGTTCAAAAAAGTGATGGAGTCTTCTGGGAATTTGTCGTTCCAAGTCCCCTCAGTTCTCGATCGATCCAACACCTGGTGCCAGTCAAGAAAAAGAATGAACTTTGGATATTCCGGAGAGTCCGCTTTGATGTATGTCTTGTAGCCACGATATGAACTGTAGTTTGAAACCTCCTTGAAGTTCACTCCCACAGGATCCTGGCCTGAGCCCACGTCCTCAGCCTTGTTGTCGCGATCAAACCAAACCACCGTGTCCGGAAGATAAGGTCTAGGCTTCAAGATTCTCTCGATTGCCTTCGCTGATGGCTTTGCACGAGCTCTCAACTGATGTGTTCCACTTGGTCTTGCCGGTGGCACAACAGAAGATGACGATGCCGATGATGTTCCCCAAGTGGAGCCTGCCGGGTGATCGGACGGTTCTGGTACTTTTGAGGTAGGCCGAGCCTTTGCGGCTGGTTTTCCCAAGACCGGAACCGGTTCTGATGCTCTCGGAGTAGGCCTAGCTTTTGCGGCAGGCCTTTCCACGATCTGAACCTCTTCTTCTGACGAAGATGTCTCAATCTCCCAAACAGTTGCCCCTTGCAACACCGAGTCGCAGACCTGAAATCTCCACTGCCTTGCGTATTCAAGTCCTTCCCGAGTTACAAATGGATAGTTCCCTTTATAGAATCCTTGATCGATACCTTCTCTGATGTGTCGAACCTTTGTAGAAAGACCCCTGCGACCACCTCTTGGGGCTCTGATAGCACGCCAAAGCGCGTCCGGAATCTGCTGTCTACGATCTGGCTCTAAAGTTTCGTCAAGGTACTCCTGGTCGATGATACCACTAGATGTAGCTATTGCTGCAGCCCTACGGCTGATAACCAAAAGATTCTCAAAGAATCAGTTGGCTCAACCACGTAAACCCTTTTACCTCGGGCAATGCGATCTTGAGCCAAACAGTTGGCCATGGTATACATTTGTAGACCTGGACCACTGGATGTTTGGCATATGAATGAATTAGTTAAAACAAGTGGACATGTATTAATGTCAGTTCGAGCAAACTGGATTCCTGGGTCTAGTGTACTTTAACATGACCGCATGCAATGGTTATGAATTCCAGTCTACATTGATTGCTATGGAAGCATTTGTTGGTGATACTACATTGCACTACACTGCACTACGTGAGGAGGCATATTACTCGTAATCTTTCTTCTATTTAATATTATATTTAGTTATATATATATATATAGATCTGTGTGTGTGTGTGAGAGTCTGAGTTTAATAGAGTTTGTCAAAATATGGTGGATGTCCCTCCAATACATGGCACTTACCATGATGAAAATTAGTGTCAACCGTTGGATCTTGGGGTGCCAAGGGGTACCGCCCGCCTCACGCACAGCTTCTGAGCCCTCTTCCAACTTCTCTTTGCTGCTTCCCGCACGTCCCTTGCGGCCCATGATTTTCCAGGCACCTTCAGCCGTCAACATCCAGCTGATCTGTGCTTGTAAGGTCGAGACGTTCAAGTCTTTCTCAACAAAAATAGATAAATATGACTTCCAAACACATCCAGGCAAAATCACAAGCAACTTATAGCATCTTCATGTCCAATCTCCAACCACCATGCCACACTGATGGGCTGGTAAAGAACCCAGCTGGGGGCATTTCTGTTCCCCATTTGATTGGTGGATAACCGTAGTTACACAATATTGATTGAGTAAACAATACCAAGATGGTAGATGACCCTATGTGTAACCTCATTCGTATGTCAATGTGTTTCTCTGAAAATAGGCTTCCCTATTTGAATGGTCATTAAAACATATTAAAACGGACAAAACCCTTACTTTCGGACAACCCCATCACTGGTCGCCAGTAACCGCATCACCCATCACCAATCACCCAAGGGCCCACCGCGTCTCCGGTGCGATTTCGGCAGGCGTTGAACGCTCGGAACCAAACGCTGCGGGATGAGATCCGCGGCAGTAAAACCATTTGGATGAAGGAAACTTAAAACTATTGCCATTTGCAGGTTCTCATGTCTGACCTTGAACTGAATGGATCTTAGTATATCTTAGTATAGATGTTTTAGATTGTTTTAGTATGTCTTAGTCTTAAGTCCATATTGGGGTTTGGCACATTGACTGGCCAAAAAAGTTGAGCTATGATTTGTAAGCCGGCCATGCAAGGATTATAAAATCCATTAAAATCCTACTTGAGGGACTTATTAACAAAGGGTAGGACAGATATCTGGATGTTCCATTGCGGGGACAGCTGTTTTGAGTGAACAGCTCAGGTTGCTGAACATTTTATGGTTCGCTGATAGAAGAGTCCAGGTATAGCTGCACCTCTGGTTGCAAACTCTGTACCACCGGGCCACCAAACTCTACAGTAAATGAAAACGCCCACAAAACGATATGTGATAAGATTATCATGGTATAGTTGCAGTACCCAATCGACATTCTCATGGCACAAACACGAAAAGAATAGTCAGATTAATCAAGTCAGTCATCATCGGTCTGTTTGGCGATATTCAGCCCCAAATTTTGGATATCTTATCAAATCTGAGAGCTTTTAAGCCGCTGAATGCCGCTATCTTCCACCCATGCGCTATGCCATTGACGTCGCGACAGCCTCAAGCGGCCGCTTGGCGTCGTGACGCCGTGTTTCTGATTTCAGGGCCGCTGGTGGCAGGCCTGGTGCGTCAGTGGTCCCGTGCGACGCCGTGGGATCGCGATGAACCATTGATTGACATACCTGATGTTGAGACATTATCATGAGTATGAGAAATACCAGATATATGTCTCAACAATGATTGACATTACCAGATTAATAATAATCAGATGATATTGAATGATTCTCATGATACCTGAATGATTAGTTTGTAAATCATGAGAATCATTCAATATAATTGCAGTGTATCGATCGTAGAAAGCATAATAGTCACATTTTTGAAAAAAAATGCGTGTTGATTGTTGTGAGTGGGATATTCATAAAACGGGCACATAGCAATCTCCAAACAAATTAAACAGTAAAGTCGGTAAAATATCAATGTAATTATATACTGATAATACATACTGTACTGTATTGTATACGTGTGTTCTATTTTGGGGGTTGGATGATAGATTTCCCATCAGTTGTTGTTCGTTGATTGACTTGGGGAAAATCTACGGGAAGCGGTAGATTTACCACGTGATTACCAGCCGAATGATGGTATTCCGTCTTCATTTAAGTTATCGGACAAAATCACACAAAATCAAGGAAAAGGGATGGCAAACTTGAAATGAAATAATTATGATCGACAATGACATAGCAAACACAGATCGAGAAACCAAGAAATGACCTATAAGGTATACTATACAGCATGAAGGAGAGAAAAAAAAAACAAGGGCTCAAAAGATTTCAAAGGTTTAATTTATCCATCCAATTGCTTGCCATCTTGGTCTTCTAACTTTTGTTTCACGTCCTTGTACCCCAAGCTGATGCCTGTATCGCTTGGAATCGCTGCCGGCATCGTGGCCAAGCTGAGTATTTTGGAGGTTGGCTGATGGCTGATGCAGTCCCCTCCGCCTTTCAATTAGCTAAGCTTTGTTCGGGCACAGCTTAGGATGGTGACAAACCAGTCAAGACGGATTCCCAGCGACTGGTGTGCCCGCGCGATGTGTTTGGCCTTGTTTCAGAATTACACTCTTCAGAGCTTGGGCCAAATGGTCGACATCCAGACATCCACGTGCATCGCCCGCAGCGTAAATTCAAGATATAGCGATGTGCATGCGCTACAGTACCCGCTCGAATGCTATACAATCCATTCGCATCTGCTGGCCATGTTTTTTTCCCCGTGTGCATTCCCCGATTGCCGCGTCAGGCGCTCTTGAAACCCTGATCAAAGCGGCCAAATCCCGCAAAGGGAGCAAACGCCAAACATGAAATAACAAAACCCAACCAGAACTTGAACTTCCATGCATCTGAGTATTAATCATAAGCAGTCCTAGGTGCGAAATGGCAGGCGTCGCCCAGTGCCCCCGCGCAGCACCCCTCGTGGCTCCCCAGAACAATTGCTCAACAGGACTTGTCTGGCAGTGCCAAAGGGCACAATGTGCCATGGTTCCTGAACCCTATCTGAGCGGACTGAATTTCATGGCAGAAAGCATGCCTCAAGATGTATCAATATCTCTGGAATGCACCTGTTGCGAAACCCGGCTCCAATGGTGGCACAATACGACAAAACTGCAAAACATCACCAAATCCTCTGTTGATTGATGAATTTGGGTCAAATGCTTTCAAATGCAGCGACTCCACGATAACTAAGGATGTCAAAAATTCCAACAAAACTGTTGCCGGTTAACAAGGCAAGCGAAGCTAGAAATCAGAAATAGATGAACAAACTGCTCAGAGAAGCATGGCAAGTTAACTGTTGGAGGCATGCGAAACTGCTAAACAACTAAAGCGATTTCGCCAAATTGATCAAGTGAAGTCTAAGCCTAAGCTTGTAGGCGCGAGCGCCTCCAAGCCGATTGACCTATTGGCCTACTGAAATTGGGATGGCGGTCGTGGTCTTGAAAGGTACTTCAGGCAATTTCAGGCATGTGCCTGGTGCATCTCCATCTTCTTTGCCACAAATAAACAGTACCAATCAAATCCAATATCGAGATAAACATCCATAAATGACATATTGATGAGATATCAATGACATATCATATTCATCTTGCGGGCCAATTTTGTCTTCCAAGGTGACCCCTGATCCACTGCAAGTTCTGAAAACCATCCCTTCGCGCAACTCATCTCGCAGCAAGGCCCATCACCTCCAACACTCGGTCGACCAGCTCCTGGCGATCCCGAGTACTGTAGGTTTGTTTAAAACCAGAAAATGGGTGGTTTTACCTGAGAGGGGAGTGTCCAAATGAATGAATAAATAAATAAATAAATAAATAAGTAAATAAACAAATAAATAAATAAATATGTGTGTGTGTGCATGTATGTATATAACATTATATAATATACGTGTATATATATATACAAATAAATAAACAAAGAAACAAATAAAATTAATATATAAATTAATTAACTAAATAAATACACGGAGATATAGAGTCAATAGAACAAACACTAAATGAGTTCCAGTCATGTCCAACACCAAACATACACTAAACTTAACCCGCTTTTCAAGGGGGGTAGGTACAACTTGGGCGGGAGATGTGGGTGACCTAAGAGGTGCCCCCAAATGTCCTGCTTGGTGCCCGAAGTGGGCATGTACTGCGACTTCAGCCATGCCACCAGGTGGGCCTTCAACTGCTTCTGCAACCACTGCTGCAGGTCTCGCCCTGCACGCCTGCGCTGCCATGGGGATGAAAGTTTCCCTCATGCGAAGCTTGGAGGAAGCTTGGAGGAAATGATGTTTCTTCAACCATCCACCATCATCCATCCAAAAATCAAGGTGCCCTCATGTTGATTTATTGCCTCCAGTGGCATCACTAAGCCGGTATTTCCTCCACCCAACCAGTGAATATGGATGGATATGGCTTGATTAGCACAGGGTATGGGAATTGAACCACTGGCATCATTCCCACCTGGCTATCGACCCCAAAGTCACCGTGCCCATCCAACCTTTGGATCTCCATGCTGAACAGGTCCTGACTAAAGTTGGAGCCAGGCGAACTGGCCTCGAGGCGACCAGGAGTGGAATGGCTCGCAAGCGAATCTATGTATCCAAGGATATCCAAGGACCTTTTATGGATATATCATGATGTATCTATGTGCCTATCTATGTCGCTGATTATCTACTGTATGTTGATCATTGTTAATCTATCTTGTCTACTTGTCCATATTTGTCTATCCTAATGGTCTTGTCGATCCTATCGAACTTCTCAAATCTAGTCCAATGTAATTAATGTATATGACTCTGATCTGATCTAATCTATCTGTGTGTATGCGTGGGTGTGTAGATGCTCATCCCTTCAACACTCTGCTTCAAAATCATCAGGGGTTGGTAACTGTCCCATTTTGGGAATATTGGACATCACCTTATAGTAGCCATTATAGACCATATACCTAATGGTTGGGTGATGTTCAATGGGGACATTTAATGACCCATGAAATGGGCGTGAAGTTCCGGGCGCATAGGCCTCAACAGAGGAACTCTCACTGCTTGGGCTCGAAGGTACGTGGACCTTGGAACAGGAGCAACGCTTGTATGACCAACCCACCCTTTGCATGGTCCTTATGCATATATACCATATTGTGACATCTAATTTTTCCCAATTCTCCCCACCCAACTCAGCGAACTCAGCAAACTTCCTTTCTGCTTGGCAAAGCCAGGGTCACTAGGCCCGACACAGTTTGAGGTCGAGAGGCAGCAATGTGGATCTGCCACGAGCAGCATCGACATAGTCGGATTTTTGGGTTAAGATTGGGTGGTAAAAGTCATACCCAGCACATCCCCTGGAATTCTAAGACATGGAGTGATTTGTACGCCTATTTGAAGGGCCAACTGTAAGACCATGTTCGCATGCGGCTTGATTCACAGCTGTAAATGATGTGTTGAACAAAAAAACACAAAATGATACAAAATGACCTATCCTGATCCATCATGCCAAAAAAAAAAAGTTTGTTTTCTGGGTCCCATAATAAGAATGAATGATGAATCATGAACCCCTTCAGCAAATGTTCAACAAGGAGGTTTCCTAAAATGGGGCTATATACCCAAATCATCCCGATGGATGACACGCGCCTCCAATTTCGACCACGGTGACTGACCGGCCTCGTTGGCGGCGCACACTTGAACCTGGCCAGGCCCTCAGGCAGACGCAGCTATACCCTATAGAAAATAGGTTTCAACCAAGAACATGCCGATAAATATGTTTGAAATTGGACATTATGATGTCAGTATAGTGTATAGGATTGTTCTGTATGTCTCTATATGTGTGTATGATTGTGTATGCATCAATATATATATATATATAATACACATACAGACATGTAGGTATGTAAATGTATGACACATAGAATCTTCATTGACATCATGGGCAGATGTACATGTATACATATGTGCGCGTGTGTGAGCAGGCACGGCTTTACACAGCTGCATAGGCCCAAGAATGCTGAAGGCAGCTGGTTGGCTAGGCATGATCACGAAGTCCCAAGCTGGAGCTATCATAGCTATCCGATCTAATACTAAAACCAGTGACAAATTTGACAAATTTGACCATCTGCCTACAGTATTGCTAAGTGGGAACTATCCAAGGGTAAGGTCAGGGGATCATCTCTGGTAAGAAGATGCTCCCGCAGTCCAGGATGAGCCGTAAAAAACAAACCTGACGTAAGGTACGCCCGTCCTCATGATACTAAATGCTTCCCCCATACGTCCCCTGAACCAATAGATTCTACTGCTAAACCAAGGTTTCTAGCTGTGTTTATGTATTTTTGATATCAGGGCAAGGGGGTTAAATGTGCGTGTGCAATAATGATAATAATAATAATTATTATTATATATATACACAACTAAAAAAATGTCTAGATGTGCGTGCGCGCGTATGTGTGTGTGTGTGCCTTAATGATTGCTTTGCATTTCTTGACACAAATCATTTGTTGCGTCACCTAGTCATGAAAAGGACGGTGTGGTGCACCGGCAAGTGTCATCTCCACTGTCTTCCTTTAATAACAGCCCTGTCATGGCTGATGGCCAATGTATGCCTGGCACCCCCCTGGCTGCAGCACTTTCTCTCAGGGCAGCACCCAGAATTTGTGTTGCAAGTCCTCATCCAACAGCATCACTGCTGCCCGGTTGTCCCACTCACCCATGTAATTAGCGCATGTGAAAACGTTCACCAGCCGCTGTTGGAAGAAATACTCATAACCATGCTGAGAGAGTTGCATCCCACGCACCATGAGCTCAATATGATTTGTTTCACAAAATTCCTCGAAAACATCCTGGCCAAAAGTGTAGGACAACCCCCGGTCGCTGGGCCCCCAGCCCTGGCAGTCCGTAGGATCGGACCACAGCAGGTCAGTTAGCAACCCTTCCTCTGGCACCTCCAGCGGTCGATGCAACTCGTTGATCTGTTCCAAGTGTCGCAACTCCGGCGAGATGCCACCGGAAACACAGAAAACGCGCCCGTTGACCCGAGCGCAAAGGGGTAAATGGTTCAAGACATCGATAAATGACCTCCAGAGTTTTCGGCTGTAAAGGCGACAGACCTCCTCATAGAACTCCGACATGCGGGCAATCTGGCGACAGTCGTGGCGGCCCCGTAGCATGTAAAGCTTCTCCGGAAACTGGCACTTGTAGGCCATGAGCGTCACCAAGACATCGCTGCCCTGGATGCCGCGGTTCACGTAGTTCCCCAAGAAGAGGTATGGCCTTCGAAGGTCGAAGGATGGTTCCCCTTGACCCGAGAAGATTTGATTCAGCTGATCCATCCGACCCGTGAGATATGCGGCAATGGTCAGTGGAGCTTCCAGGTCCAACATCGAGGGTTCCCTCAGCAATTGCTCCTTGGCCTGGGCGCATAAACGATGAAGTTCAGCCACTTCCGAGGTGTGGTTCTCCTGGTGTACTCCTGGTGTAGCCGTACCCTAAGACCCCTAAGGACATGTCAGGCCCGAGCTGAAACACTCATGAAGTTGAATGATTGAATGATTCAATTTCAAAATGTAGAAATAAAGATACTGGAGAGATAGAGATAATAAAGCTGGAGATAAAGATAGAGATATAGATAGATTGGGTAAAGAGGACCCATTCAAACTTTCAAATGTCAAGTATTTGTGCAAAATCAGATTAGCGTTGAAATTTGAGCCCCCCAGGGGCTGCGGGTATTTATATATATATATGCACATAGAGAGAGAGAGAGAGAAGATAAGACAAGATAAGATTAAATAACATTGGCTTAATCTTGAGCTTAATGCCTAGATTCCGAGTCAGATTCAGCTTCTGCTTTAGGTAAGATCAAATCGGAAAAGATGGATGGATGGATGGATGGATGGATGGATGGATGGATAGTTAGGTAGGTAGGTAGGTAGGTAGGAAGAATGTAATCTAAATTGCAGCAATGGGGTGGAAGGGTGCCAGTTTGGCTGGCAGTTCATGCCAATCCGACAGTTGCCACGGATCCAAAAAATGGAAGCCCGTTCTAGAAGTGGTTATATAATGGTATATTTATTAACCATATACTTACAAAGTTATATCTCAACTATTGGGTGCTATTACCATGCCATAGTTATAGTAGTTATTATAGTTGTACCCATACAACTATATTCCAATTGCACCCTCCTCCTTGGACACGATGCGGCGCCGCGGGGCAATTTGATCTGCAAAGTCGCAGCATTGCACCACCAAGTAAAGTGTTACCTGCCATGGCCATGCACGGGATCAGCCCCAAGTCTCAATGATGGCTAATTCTATGTGATTCCTAGGACTCCCAGGCTTTAGCCTTCTGAAAATAGGTCTGCGATGGGTGACTCAGACTCACATTCTCAAATTCAGCAGCTGGGATACCTTCTACATCTTTTACTTCCAATGAAATTGATCGGATTCCAAACAGCTGGACACTTCATCAAGTTGACGTCAACTCCCCGGGCCTCGTCTTTCCAGCCCAGGCTGGAACAGGTCTCCTTGTCCCTCAGCTTTCGGCCATCATACATCAGCGCAAAGAGCTCTGGATCCTCTGGAGCATCTCAGCTGCAAGTCCAAATATGGGCCCCATCCCACCCAACAAAAAAAACGTCTCGCAAAACGATGTAAAACGATGTGGAACCCCCAATGGTTTTGGGGGTTCTCCCGAACATCGGCCTCAAAATTGGCCCCAAAAATGCCGACCCGGAAAATGTCCTTAGATCCGATCCAGCCCTTGATCTGCTTCACGCTGTGGCTGGGCTCCATTGGGATCTGCACCAAGGGCCTCTGCTCAGCGCCCACCACCGCCTCGCCACTGAGGCCCAGCACCGTGAGCCACGCAGAGGCGGAGGCCGTGGCGGGCTCCATGGCGTGCCCGTGAAGATGTTGGAAGATGTTGGAAGGGGATGATGTGAATTCAACGGTTGGGGAAGGAACAACTGGAACTTGAAGACTTTGCAGACTCCGGATTACTTCGGCTTCTGGGAGTTTGAAGATTTTGAAGAAAACAAATTCACCAAGATGGAAAAATCCGAATGATGGGGGAGGTATGGGGAGGTGCGAATGGAACTTGAGGCCCGGCAATCTGGGGTGCCAATTGGGGGTTTCTGCCCATCAACCCTCTGGGTTTATGGTTGGCATCCCTGAAATCATTGATTGAAGCTCTGGTGCCATGAATGGGAGCCAAGGGAAAAGTGGATGCAAGGTGTGTATATTATATATATATATTTATTTATTTATTTACTTAAATTTATTTATTTATATTTATATAATTATATATATACATATTGTATCTATGCGTCACAAAAAAAAATGTGAACACCAAAAAAATATCGATCAATCTTACATTCGCAACCCCCCAAGTAGCGGTGTGTCTTGGAATCCACCCAAACCACATTCCCAGCCACCGTGGCGGTCGGTTGCTTCCAAAGGCTCGGCATCTTCTGCAGGTCTTCTTCCTTAACGCCGCTGGTTGGGTGGGTCCCTGTCAGAAAAGGAAGGGATAATGTTGGGTGTCAAACCACCGCAATTTGATCAATTTCGGAAGTGTTGGTGCATGGGCAAGAAAGGGACCCAAGACCTCTAGCTTTGAGGACATTCGAGGGGCGCCTTAAATGCTAGCATATGCTAGCCACCCAAAGATCGGAAATGTGAATCTTTGATCCCCCGAGGACAAAACAATGGCAGCGCTAGGTTCCTTTGGTCTCGCAGTTCGGTGCGCAGGACGATCAGTTTTTGCTTTTGCAACTACTTGGTAGCCCTGCCATGGTTGTGATCTGAGCAGAGGTGTCAGGCTTGTTAGGCCATGGCTTGGAGTGGGGGGCCACTTGTTCAAGGCCCAGGTCCCGTTTCAATCTTCGGGTCAAGACTCTACACAACCTTTCAAGGGCCGTATGGCTGGACCAGCCCTGGCAATGGTCAGGCTGCCGCCTTGAACTACATGGGCTCCTGCCACCGTTTCGTGGATGACAGCAACAATCTAAGCAATGGGGCGCTTTCAAGAGTCCATCAGCATCCGAAACCATCGGACAAACGGAGACAGAACCACTGCCTGTTCAATCTCGGCAAATCATGATGATTAAAATAAACCCATTTCGGGGTGAGCCCCCTTACTAACCATACTGTAATCTATCACTGTGCGGCCACTGGAATATCCACCAATTACCCAGTTCAATGTCTGAGCCGCAAATCTCTGGCACTGTTTCCTGACGAATCCACGCCCCACAGCGTCACAGTGGGCTCTGCTGCTAGGTCTGCTTTTTCTGCAAGTTCTTAGTTGGGCATCAGAGAGCTTTCACGGAAATCATCATATTTCGCAGTGTTTCCCATTGAAGACATGAGGCTCCTGCAAACGTGCCCATCATAATTTCTGGGAAAATTGAAGTAGATAATGGAGCCAGTTGTGGGCCAAGAATTTAATGATCCCATATGCAGGCAGCCGTCGCAGCTGAGCCATGCAGCTGAATTCAACTGTAAACACACAATAATCTCAACAGCTACCGTTGACTTCTCTGGGTGGAAATGCAAGTGGTATCTTTATTCTGAAAAAACAAGGTGTAGATATGTCCTTGATGATGGCAGGTCTTCCACTTTCCTTCCAACACAAAAATGAACCAGAAGATACCAGGCCCTATTGAACAGTTGAAACAATGCAAAAACATGAGATATTCCCGCATTGGCCATGGCCAAACGCTCCCAAAGAAGGAGATGGCACGGAGCACGGCACGCGCTGAGCTCGGCAGCGATGCGTTGCTGGTCGTGACTGAGAATTGTCGACTTTCGTTCTCTCAAACTCACGCACACACACACACACACGGGGCTATATGGATCGGCGTGTGCATGTCTATATGTGCATATACATAATATATATAATATATAATATGTAAATATAAGTAATATACAATATCTGCATATGTAAGTAATATATATAATATATATATAATATATATAATATATGTAAATAATATATATAATAATTTAATATAATATAATATAACATCATTTAATATAATATAATGTAAGTTCATATGATTTGATGTAATATAATATCATATATATTACATTATATCATATATATATATATGATATATTATATATCATATATATGTGTAATATATTGCTTATTATACATTAAATATTATGTGTTAAATATTATATATTATATATTATATATTATATATTATATACATGATATTATATTATGTATATATTATTATATATTTTATATTGTATATTATATTTTTTATATATAAATTGCATAATATATTGTACAAATATTATCTATTTTATATGTAATACATAATTATATAATATATGATATATAATATATTGAATAAATTATAGAGTATAGTATGTATTATATATAATATTTAGTATATTATGTATTATATATAATATATAGTTGTATAGTATATTATGTATATATATATTACATTATATTATATTAGTCTATATTGTGTTATTTTATTTTATATTACATTATATATTATATTATATTATATTATAATTATAATTATATCATATTAAATTATATTATATTATATTATACTATATATATGTGTTATATGTATTTATATGTACACTTGTAACACGCAGAGAGAGAGAGAGAAAGGGAAAAAACAATATGCTTATTCTAATTCTAGGTTTTGTACCTTCGGAGTTTTTTCTCTTTCTCTCAACTTGTTTGGTACTGGAGCGGTTGGAAGCAAGGATATCCCTGCATCCCGACGCTAGGCCGCTAGACTTTGCAAATTTGGTTCTATGTGGACTTGGAGGGCTGTCTGCTGGCCAATCTCCGATGCCAAATTCGCGGTCTAGTTGCTACATCATTTCTGGGCCAAAGAATGCACACAAACACACAACCATACATCTTCCAATCTTAGATACCCAGCAAAGATGGCAATTCTTGGCCATTGTATCCCTGTGATGTGTCGATTAACCACCTATCCTTACCTATCCAATCTATCCAAGGCTTACCACATACCCAGTGAAAGGATACATTCGCTACGTCAGCACCGCCATTCGCACAGCCGCACAGGAAATCTCGTGGTGGAATCCAGCTGGAGGAATCACGGCCAATCACGATGTGGACCCCACTGTGAAACCCAAGAAAAATGGAGGAATAGGGAGATGATGAAGCGTCTACAGATCCGTGCAATTTTTGTTTCTATGATTTTCATGGATTTTCGATGATCCTTCAAGGGTTCACCGAACTCAATTGTGCGGAAATGTACGGAATATCCCTGAGAAATCCTAGCCAGATGTGGGTAGTGTCGTAGGTTGCGGTGGAAATGCCTGAACCGCAAGGGCTCTTCGATTTTGATGGGCTTACACTCCATATCACTCTATGATCTCTATGTAATTAATTAATTCCATCCAAGATTAGGATCTGGTGCTAGCGTAAGCCAGGGAGGGTCGCAAAGACAGTGGACATCTTGAGGATGTACACGAATTCATCTACACAAAAAAACATAGGCAAAGTAGACCGAAGTGCGCACCGCCTGCCACTTGCCAAACATGAACAACATGGACACGTTTGAGTTTTCAACCAGGCCATACCAGGCCCACTTCCTCCAGCCATGTCATTGAAATCTTGTAGCCAAGTCCTTTTGCGGACACACTTTTAAAAAAGCCTCTGCGGTCCGTGGCAAGGTCTGTGGGCATACGACATGCCTATTTCGCGTGACCCTGCCACAAAAAAGACTGCCTCGGCTGCTCGGCTCGGGAATCGGATGGCAGCACTCACCATCCAGCTTCATGCTGACATATGTTGGCCAATCATGCCTGCACGGTGTGATAATCGCACACATCCCTACAGTAGCACGCGCACAACTAAAATCAAATGAATATCAGATATGTGTTCAAAATGATCACTTAAGACTTTGCCCTGCATCAAAAGCGCTCGGTGCTGGCTTTTGAAGTCTTCCTTTCATAATGACAGTGTTGAAGATGCTCATGGCATGGCTTATGGTGCTCCAGCATCACCTCCAAGATCCTTCGCTGCCATCCGCTCCCTGAACTCGAACTGCGGACGGTTGAGCTCGGGATGCTTGAGGATTGTTCGGCGCTCGTCCCACGCGCTGGCTTTAGACTTTCAGATGTCGCCAAGATCCAACAGAGATAGCAGCAAACGAGGGATCCAAATCAGATAAATCAGGAGCAAATACTGGTAGAGTCAGATAGAGTCAGATAGAGTCAGATAAAGTCAGATAAAGAATGGTACTGTTTAAATCTCTATAAGATGGTATCAGAATGGGTGTATAATGATGATTTAACCACTGATCCACCTCCTTGGATCATCTGGAAATTTGCGCCATCGCTGAAAAAAGCATCGTTCAGCACTTGCAACTTCTGGCCATTGGTTCTGTGGACATCTGTGGGCTATACACCGTATATACCGTATAGAACCCAATCTGACTGCAGTTTCTGAAATATCAATGGTAATTCCAATCGAAATGGTGCTTCAGCCATGCTAAAACCCTGATTTTTCACCAAGTTTTTTCACCAAGTCACCAATGTCAAACGTGCATTTTCGCAGGTTTCTTGACTAAAATTCCAAGAAGCCTTGATAAATTTACCAGAATGCATCCCAGGTAATTACACTTAAATCATCGTAAATCCATTTAAGTCCATTTAAATCCAACAATCGACAAGATTCGACAAATACCGTTGTTGGTTTACCAACAACCACGGGAAGTCACTTAGTCCGTCACTTCGCCGCTGCAGTGGGACGACTGCCGCGTTGCGACTATCGCGGTCAAATGCTGAGCACGCGCTCCACACGTGTTTCCACTGGGGTCTCCTGGGCCATGCCATGCTGCACGGTCGGATGTCAAAGGTTGGAGATGTTGAAATAAATGAACATCACACATGAATTGAATGAATAGATAATATGTATACATACGTACATTTATTCTCACAATTTTATTATATAATTTGAATTAGTACATGACGTTGTAATTCTCCCTTTTACGATCACTATCTCTATATATAATATATATATAGATATAATATATATAATATTATATTATATTATATTCTATTATATTATATTATATTATATTATATTTATATATATTATATATATAAATAAATAAATAAATGAATAAATAAATAAATGAATAAATAAAAAAACACGACTCGATCACAACAATCGATTTTTTACGGGAGAAATAGAAGCCATTGGAAGTCTATGAAGCGTTGTGTTTGGTTCCCTTCAAGATCTTCAAATCCCCCAAGCAAATCCAATCAGCCTTCTCAATGAGCAAGCAGTCAGGGATGTCCCCGCAACACTGTGGCCCGCAGTTGGGGCCACAGCGCCATAACTTCGCGGCCCTGGTGATGGCTGGTCATGGGCTGGGCTGGCCAACGTTACCAAAGTAAACATCAATGGTATATTGACATTGAGGTATATTGAGGCATATTCAGATATCAAACATCAATATATTCACATGGTCTCACCAAGGAGATTTGAATTTCAACCGTTCGAATCTGCTGATTTTTAACGACCGACCTTATCATGCGGCAGCTATTGACGAGAACATCTTTTGTCTTGCCCCCACCACGAATCATTGCTAAGGCACGATGTCATGCGCTTGCCTGTCACGATCAAAACGCCGGGCGATCTGGGTGGGTCGTCGCATCTTCCAATATCTTCCAAGTGTGTTCTGTTCCCTGTTTGTTTGTCAGTGACGTAGTCTCCATGGTGGGAAGGTGGCTCACAAATTCTAAAAGCCTCACTTTGGATATTGTTTGGGCAGCCCGGCTGTCATCATTATGGAAATTGTTTCACAAAGAAAAGACACTGCTCCAACCCAGGGACCCGAATGCACATCACATGAAAACACTTTAACTTTTGCACAACAAGTTACTGTATTACAAGCACCACAGTCTTGTAGGTTTCTTCCCCTGTTGCCGTACCATTGGACCATTGTAGACTGTGGAGTGCGGAGTGTAGAGCATGGAGTGTAGAGTGTGCATGTTATGACGTATGGAGTGTAGTGTGTGAAGTGTAGAGTGTGGAGTGTAGAGTGTGGAATGTGAAGTGGGCAGTGTGGAGTTTAGAGTGTGGAGTATAGAGTGCGGAGTGTAAAGTGTGGAGTGTGGAGCATAAATTGTGGAGAATAGAGTGGGTCGAGTGTGGAGTGTCGAGTGGAGAGTGTAGAGTGTGGGGTGTGGAGTGGGAAGCGTAAAGTGTAGAGTGTGAGGCGTGGAGTGTGGAACGTGTTGTATGGAGTGTGCGTTCAAAATTGTGGAGTGTGGAGTGTAGAGGGTTGTGAAGTGTCAAGTGCACAGCATGGAGTGAAGAGTCTAGAGTGTAGAGTGTGAAGTTTGCAGTGTAAAGTGTGGAGCGTAGAGTGGGGTGTGGTTTGAGATTGGAGCGTAGAGTGTGGAGATGTGTCGAGCCAATGCCGAAGGAATCAATTTTGCAAGCGCAACAGTGTCCAGAATTTTGCACCTGCCACGAAAGATGACATTCCATGCACGACGGAACTTCACCAAACATTGCGCCTGGCACGAAAAAAAGGAGCGCACCATGTGCCGCGCCTGCCGCGACATTTGCACTTTGTCAACCACTGCCAATGCGATTCCACAAAAACACGCGACACAGCACGTCTCAAGTGCCGCGCCTGCCACAAAAATGTGACATGGACATCTTCACAGTGTTGTGCCTGCCACAAAGAATGAAAGTCATCTAAAAAAGACCGTTCACGCGCGGGCCTGTCGCACAAAGTGACTTTCGAAACTTTATCAAACACGTCCAAATGTCACGAAGTGCCACGCCTGCCATGCAAAATGACATTGCAGCCCTTTTGAAACCGTCCAAAGTGAGGCTTTGCAGCTTCCCAATAGGCACGGCAACACCGCAACAAAACAACGTGATCTAAACACAACATGAAGGAAGCTCAAAAGGAGCATTTCGTACAAGACTTCCTCCAATGTTGACAGTTCGGAAGTAAAAACGGCATTGTTCTGTTTTTTTTCATGGATCCCAAGCTAGCTAGATTTGCTGATTACCTCAAAATCGATGTTTCGCCCGTGGTTTCCGTCAATTTTCATGACATGTCACAACACACTACGCCATTTGGACTTTGTCACCACTTGACTTTGTCCAGCACTGCCAAAGCGATTCGCACACAGCACGCAACACATCGCAACACCACACGTCCGAAGTGCTTCGCCTGCCGCGAAAACCCAACATGGACATATCTGAAGTGCGGCGCCTGCCACGAAAAATGAAGCCTATCTAAAGAAGATCGAAAGCTTTCTACAGTATTGCGCTTGTCACACCAAAATATACAAAAACGACTTTCGACGCTTTATCAACCGCGTCAGAATGTCACGAAGTGCCACGCCTGTAAGACAAAAAGACGCCGCACGTCTTTCCAAACCTCAGAAATTGACTACTTTAGCAGCAATCGCCAACAGTTCGGGGACGGTTGCGGTCGGCAAACCAACCTCGAGCGAACACACCTTCACCCCGAGACCCCCAAACATAAATGAGAACCCTTCGCCACGCATTCGGGAAAGATTCAGTGCACCTCGAACCAGTGGTGTCTTTGGCGTCTTTGGTGTCTTCGGCGTTCGTGCCGACGGAGACATCAAACCAGAATCGCTCATGCGCCTGAGCCAATGAAACGGATTTCACAGGCCACGGGTTAGTGAGAGGGTCTCTGGCAAGGTCTTGCGAATCCTCAACTCCAGTGGAAAACCAAGGTAGTGAACTCAAGAGTAAAGCTCAGCTCAATTTTGTGGAGCTATTCAACTCCCCAAGTAATAAAATTGGACCTGGATGGATCTGGATGGATCATGCTTATAAACATCTACCACCAGGGTTACAGCAGCATTACCACATTACTTTCTTCCAAGCGCCCCAGAAAGCTCCTTGCGGTTCCGCTTCCATCCTTGGGACACTCAATTCTCAAGGACCACGCACGCATCCTGGCCGTCGGAAATCTTGGGATTCTTCCAGAGACAGCAGATCCAAACGCGAGAAACTGCCCCCACCTTCCAGTTTCCAAGGGTAAAGGGTTTTGCGCCTGGCAAAAGCCCAATGTCAGTCAATTGGGGCAGCTGCAAGGGCCGGTGGGAGATTGCTGATGCCTTCCACTCCACAATTGCACATGGTGTCACATAGGTTGTCACCTGCCAAGTAAACGAAAACACTTCCAGACTTCCAGCTTTACGCGTCGCTGAACCCCAACATTTCCAACCTCAGCAGCACTTGTCATATTGCGGTCCGCCATCCCTGCCGCAGCACTAATAGGTGATCCTCTAAAATCAACGTCCAACCTGACATGAGCACTTGCAAAACTGAAGGATGTCCTTTCTATTGCATCCTCAGATCATCTCAAATCTGTATTCCCTGTAATTAACTCATGATGTAGTAAACGCAATGTACAATAAACCTTATATGCCATAGGAGTCTGCAAAATGCCTCTGCCGCAGGCAGTGCTTCCAGCCGAGACGAACTGGCTGTCTCGAAACGGACCAACGGGCAACGGGCGACCCCCACAGCTGCGGCAGCCACGCAGCAACGTGCTGTCGAATCATACCCATCTATCAAGGCCCCCGGGCCCTATGAGGATCATGTTTAGTTTAAACGGAATGCATGCAAACAGATACTGTATATATATATATGTATATGTAAGTGCATATGCATATGTAAATGAATATGTATATAAATGATTGTATATGTATGTGTACATGTAGAAATATATATATATGTGTGTGTGTGAAAAAATTATATGTGTGTACATGTCTGTGTATATGTCCGTGTGTATGTATGTATGTATGTCTGTCTGTCTGTCTGTCTGTCTGTCTGTCTGTCTGTATGTATGTATGTATGTATGTATGTATGTATGTATGCACGTATGTATGCATGTATGTATGCATGCATGCATGGATGTATGCATGTATGCATGTATGCATGTATGCATGTATTCATGTATGCATGGATGCATGCATGTATGGGTGGATGGATGGATGGATGGATGCATGTGTTGATGCATGTGTATGCATGTATGTATGCATTGATGTATGTATGTATGCGTGTATGTATGTATGCATGTATGTATGTATGCATGTATGTATGTATGCATATATTTTTTTCCATCGCCATCCCGAGGGTCCAGCGGAGCTGAAGGCGCCATATATTTGTATATTATTTAGGCATGCGACATACATGATACTCTGTGTGTGTGTGTGTCCATGTCTGTGTGCCTCTCTTCTGTGTCCATGCAATCTTGGTAACATTGACTTCTCAGTTAAAGACGTTTTTCTCGCCATCTACAAAGAATATGTGGCAAAGGAGGGTCTGGCACATGAAAGCATACCTGCACCGACCAAACTCTCACAACGAATCGGCTTGCCCCTGTTCGCAACCTGTTTTCCGCGTGCAGGAAAGTCGCAGAGGGCTGTGCAGAAATCATGGTGACGAAATGGGTCAATTGTCCTGTCTTGGGCAAAGCAACACGTTTTTCATACGGCGAAACATTGAAGATACATTGAGGATCTGCAATCAGGAACCTCCTGTTTGGGAGGATGCCCTGTTGCATCCTAAAGGGCGGCAAAATCTGGAACCTGCCCCGCAAAAAAAAGCCCCCAGTTAAAGCTGGCGCCGACGTGTACTGGTGCACAATGATAGATGAGGCCACCCTAGCAGCTGCCTTCATCTGTGGACGCGCCTCAAAATGGGCACAGAATGACCTCCCACCACCAACGGTGGCCCTTGAGATTTCCAAACCATGGATGCCTTGGATGCCCTGTCCACTGCATATTTGGACTCAGTTGAATCATTGAAAGCCTGCAATGCTTTTAATGAATCTTTCAGGTTTCAACTCTGATCTATTGGTCAAAGGGCTGGCTGGCTGGCAGCTAGCAGTCTGGTGAATCTTTCTGCAATGCAGCGAATGGTACGTGGGGCGCCAGCGCATTGTGCTTCGTGGGGCGCCCGGAAGTCGCAAATCCTGGAGCCATGTCTTTAACAACTTTCCCGGATATGAAAGTGTTGCCATGCTCTACGATGCTCTACGATTCTGCGACCAACCAAAATCTATGCATGAGTTCGGAGATCAAACGGCCCGCCCTTCTGAGCACTTACTGGCCAATCAAGATCTCGGGTCATCAAGATCACGTCAAGATGATCAAGTTGATCTCCTTTTGCAGAGAAAAAAAAACGCAACGAAGGCGCAGCAAGACCTTGAGCTTTGCTGTCCAAGTGCACCTTTCGTTGGCTTACATGGGACTCTACAGATGCACGACGGCACGGATGGCGTGGGCCTTGGATATCATGGAAGAAATCAGAAGCCAGCCACCTACAGAAAATGGGTGTGTGAAATGCGCTACACCCAAAAAAAAACGGTGTAGCATCATTACCGCGTGAAGATTGCCATCATTACTACCATTTTGGGATACACGGTCCAATTCTGACCCACATCGAAAAGACAACGAGTTTCGAGGCTTGAACGGTTGGGTTCTCTATCCTGCAGCCTTGCGTCCCGCTTTTCTTGCGCCAGAAGTGCTTTGGGAATGGCGCCACAGCAATGTGGACCACACGTGGGAGAGCACCGCCAAAGTTTTGCAGACCTGCGATTTGACAAATTTTGGTGCCAGCAATGATTTTTTGCCCGCGGGCTAAACTAAACAACTCATAACAACTCTTCAATACATTTCAGAAATATGATGAAATATGCGAGCTATGCCGGGTTGCCCGAAATTCACGTGTCTTTGCTCTTTCTGTGAGTTTGGATTGGTGGAGCCACCCCTCGGGAATCGTTTGCTAGACACACGGGCTGCGACTCAGCAGCCATGTGCGCGACAATCTCGTCAGATTTATCTCAGTTCAATTCAAGATATTTCAAGATGTATCTGGTAATGTTGGTAAGGCAATAAACCACCAATATTTTGATGGTTCGTCAATTTATGGCCAAATTGGGGATGGTTTACTATTGCTATTGCTTTACCCACATTAACAAGTTTTGGCTCCCTTCAAAGGTCGACAAAGATCACCGGAAAGGGCCCCTGAATTAAGCCGCCCGACCCTGTTGGCTTCGTTACGTAAAAAAGGAACCTTTTAGCTGGGCATCTAGCACCATCTTGTACTTTCATAATAACCAATTATCTTACAATATATTTAAAGAATTGTAAATATATGTCTCCAGGTGCCCGACAATCCCACATCCCCCAATATCAAATTAGCATCATCATATTGTTGGTGAATCACTTCTAGACTCCATTATCTATCTATCCGTCCATCCAAGGCCGCCAAGGTACGGGATTGGAGATCTGCCTGGTGGATTGGAAGGGGCGTGGATCCCCTGGGATACTTCCCAGTTGCAGTCGGTAAAAATCCAATGTTTATGCATTTATCTATAAATAAATAATATATAAATATATGTATATCATATATATCTATCTATATTTATCCATATTTATGTGACTGGGTTATTAACCACATACATCCACGTACCAAGTGGAATGGGTTCGGCCAAAAAGTGGACGTGTAAGGCTATCAAATACAGTAATGCAGAAATTGAGGTGCTAAACCGTGGGAGAGAATCGGATACCCTATTTTCAGACAAAAACCGGATCCCCCAAAGGGAACAACCAAACGGGACCACCAAATGAACCAAACTGTTGTGCCACATTTATATTTATATAATCAATCTCCAAAATTCTCCAAATGGTTTCGATGCAATGTAAGAGAGATTTGGTAGCAGCCGTTGGGAAGCTGTTTGACAACGAAGTGCCCATGACGTGCACTGACGATTCCAGGGCATCACCAAACCCACCTGACTCCGACAGGGAAGACCTTCTGGAAGAGCATGGAGGCTTGCTAAGCCTCCCGGCAATTGCGTCCACACGAATCATAGTCATTTTGTAAAAAATTGAGATTAAATAATCACTATTAGACACTATAGATAACCACATAACCATTATCAACCAGTACTCAGGTACTCCGCCTCCTTTTATCTCCTTTTAGGGTGATTGGCCCCTGGGCCCGCCTCAAGGAATCGTCATCCTGGGGGCCCAACCTGAGCCATGCTGAGCCCACCGCAGCCACATCTGATTATCTCCTAAAGTTCGGCTACAGTAACCGTCAGCTAACCCTACCAATAAAATCCAATGCAAAAATATACAACAATATGATAGATATAGATAGATATATATATACATACATTTAAATGTACATATTTATAAATATATACATATATATACAAAGCAATCCCACCAGCACATCATCCCAGAATCTTCCACACTGCCTCGACCATCTCGAAGCACGTCGTTTCTTCTCCGCCTTCGCCTCCTCGGGATGCAGCAGTGATCCGAACATCTCCTCGAATCCGCCTGGCACCGGAACAACTGGGAAGTGCCGGGAAAATCTCAGGGCAGATGAACATTACCATCATTACCTCAATATTATTTGGGGGCTTGATGGGGCTTGGTGAATGATTTTTGGGATCACTGTAGATGATTTCATGAAAGAACAGCGAGGCGGCTCAATCCCCTCCCGTTCCTGACGATGTCTCGAAGGTCACCGGAGATTGTCTTGAGCAAAATAGCCAAGGCGTGACAGTCTGAAAGTGTCTGCAGTCAGTGGTTTTGCATCCAAAAACTGGGGATGCTGACATCCCCAAATCCATGCTATGGCAGTTATGGACTCATTTTCAATCAGGATTTTTGGGCCACCAGGTGGTGAAGTAAGAACAACCACACCGTTGTGTTATGTCAAGATCCTCTCAACCACACCGTCATGTCAACATCCTCTCAATCCTTTAAAACGTTGTCCCTATAGTGGCCGGATGGAAGCGGCATATGAAGAACTGTATGTGGCACCAATGTGCCCAAAAGTTTGGGCCATGCTTTGATACTTCTGGTATAGCTATCCAAATTTGGAGTGTCAGAATCATGTTCAGCTATTCGAGCCATAGATGTGCAACCCAGTTAGGTTCGCAACCATGAGGCTTAACCCAGTTGTATCAAGGGGTTCCCAAATGATGCGGGAACTATTATCTAGTTGCACATTCCTCCTCCACAATATCAGATAAATATATATATATAATCAATCAAACATGTATTAAATACATACCGTGTGTATGTATATATATATATATCCCCATGCATGTCCACATATTATGTTTCATGCTTAAAGCATGCAATAACCTTTCTAACTAATGATTACAACTGATCCAAGTGTATTCATGTCTGTATATCACCCCATATGTTTGATGCAGAAAACATGTCTAAATTATTCTAAACTATTGTTAAATCACCATCAAAGCCAGGGTCTGCCCAGTCATTGGGCCCCACGACAGCCAGCACAAAGCTGGTCAGTTCATCCACCGACACGAAGCGTTTCAGTTCCTGCCAGGAAATGATTTCGATGGCTGTGCCGCGTGGAGGTCCAGGAGTCTGCAAGGAGTATGCCGATAATTATTGTGCTTAGATTAGATGAGTACTAGATGTCCTATCATGAACATATTCCATCATATTCCATGTATGATGTGATATTTCTGAGCAAGTGTGTGTGTGTGTGTTTACCCATCATCTACACCACATTGAGAGCCATATTTTTGGGTATCTGCCATAGCCCATACACAATGGCGACCCATGGCTACCCATCTGATCACCCGCCGTCCTCGTTGTAATCCGGTTCCAGCACGGTGATCGTCAGGGGCTTCCTCAGTACATGGCAATGTCCGGAGGGCCTGGGTGATGCCACATGTACTTCACTGATCTTCACTGATCTTCACTGATATTCATCTATATTCACCTGTATTCACCTATATCATGTTCATCTATATCCATCTGTATTCATAAATATTCATAAATATTCACCTATCATGATCGCTTCATTTTGTTAGAGACTGTTAAAGATACATTGAGAAGGTTCAATGGTTTGACTGTAAAACGTCCTGAGATTGATGAATGATGATGAATGTATGATTCATCACCAGCAGTATCTGACAAACCGTTGATTGCGGATGCTGGATGCCTATCTATTACCTGAGAACCAACCATAGCTGCTGCTAGCTAATGCATATCCCTTTTCCACCAGCGCGAAGGCAAACTCCGAAGCCAGCGGGAAGCTGCCAGCAGGTCCGGATGTGAGCGAAGCTGTTCGGAGGCAAACTGCAGGGAACGACTATCCTGCTGCACAGCAGCCAATACCACATCCATGTCGTCCTTCAAACGCTCCGAGGCAAACTGCAATGCAGCGCCCCTGAGCTGCACGATTTGGAGCATCACATCCTTCACATCTCTGGCATCGGAGGCCCAGCGCAAGGCCAAAGGGCTCTTGCGCACGGCAGCACACAGCACTTCCAGGTCCTCCTTCAAATCATCACTGGCAAATTCCAAGGCGCGCCAGTCAAGCTCAACAGCTGCCAGCATCACGGACTTGTCGCACGTCAGTGGCCCCAAAACGGACCAATCAAAGGCCCACCATCTGCGAGCTGCGCTGCTCAGCACCACTGGATCCATCCTCAGCTGCTGGTCTGCGAGTTGCACTGCCTTGCCATCCGACCTCACTGCTGCCAGCACCACCTCCCGGTCAGCCTGCAGCTGCTGGGCCAGTTCCAGCAGCATCCCCTGCTGCTGCACTGCTGCCAGCACCACACGGCGATCATTCCACCAGTCCGGCACCAAGCACCGCATCACGGTCGGGTCCGCGCGCACGGCGCCCAAAGCCGCTGAGCGGCTGTCACGAAGCGCAGCGCAACTGAAGAGCCAGGGCCAATCTGCGAAGAGATAGCGCCGAGCAGCTGTGAGAATCAGAGTTGGGTCCTGGATATTCAGATGATTCATGTACATTCAATGGTATAGAATCGGTCGACTGCTGGAGCTCGTGCCAATTCGATTCAGTGCTTCTACTTCACACTTGTCTCATGCACAAGAGTTGCTGCAATCCATTTCAAACCCAGTGGCAAAGTCTCAAAGATTTATCTGTTATATCGGTTCGAATAATCACAGCACAAAGTTCCTCTAACAGACCTTGCAAAAAAACAAAAAGCCAAAAGGCTACCGGCATCAAACAAAGACCATTGAAAACCAAGCAGTTTTTGTTCACCAAGAAAACATCCACTGATTGAATTATGATTGAATTTAAGTGAGGTCCTCCTTCAACTCATCAGATGCAAATTGCAGTGCATGGCCATGTCCCACAACAGCCGCCAGCACCAAATCGCGCTGACTTCGCAGCTCTGGGGACGCAAACTCCAGGGCCATGGCGTCCTGTCCAACAGCTTCACGCACCAGCTTTGCATCGCTGCGCAGCTCCTGAGGGATGGCACTCTGAAAAACAAAAATGAAGTGCCAAAACCTGCAGTGCAGGGGAAAAATGGGGAAAAGGGAGAGTTCATGAAAGTTCAATTGAGCCAATTAAACATGTTCAAAACATGGATATTCAATGATATTCACACTTTGACCCTTTCATCATCGCACATCAGCCCACATCAGCCCACATTCACGTGCTTTTCTTTGTCCCTACTTCACCTCCGAAAGAAATTGCAGCGCGAGGCCATTCTGCCTGACTGCACAAAGGCCACAGGCTCGCTGAGCGCACAAACCTGGTACCACTTGGATCACCAAGCCGTTTAAGCCAATGGCACGGTGCATGAAGTCAGCATCATCATGCAACCTGCCGTGGCCATGGATGGTCCCATATGGTCCCATATGGTCCCACTTTTTCGACCACACCAAATCAAAAAACAAAAAGATGTTGTCAAATGTTGTTCCTTTCTGGTGTTTTTTCTTCAACAAAAAATCCCACGTTCGCTCGCCAGCTGTGTTGGATCCCACCTTGGTGACAGGTACTGGGCGGCCTTCCAGTCGATCCCCACAGCTGTCCAGGCCACCTCCCGGTCCTCCGCCAGCGATCCTTCGAAGAGCCGCGCCCAGTCCCCACCCGCGGCCGCCAGCAGCACGGACTTCGAACGCTTCAGCGGCACCTCGGCGAACTGCAGAGCCGAAGCCTCTTGGATCACTGCGGCGGTCACCAACCTGGCCGTGGGTGGACTCTGGGTGGACTCTAGGAATCTAGGTGTACCGGTAGGCCCGCCCCCAAAACATGCCATGTTAGTTGGTATATGTTGGTCTGATTTTTGTTCGGATCAGATGCTATTTGTTGATGCATTACTTAGAGGGGTAATGATTGGAGGCATGTCACTCTGTAATAAAATGCACGTAGCCTTGGGATCTTTGAAGATTGGAGTCCGGATGGAGGGACATCACAACACAAATCCAGGGCCCAGATTCCTACATCCCTCTGCTTCATGCCTTCATCCAACAAACATCATCCAAACATACAGACACAAAAGTCTGTGAGTTGAGATGCACGTACTTCTTGCACAAACTATCATTTGAATTCAATCATGCCCTGAATCGATCTATATGTTCTAATTATATAAATGTATCCCTAATGTCATCAAACCTGTTTACGGTCACAATCTTTTGAGCTCATATCCAAAGTATTATCTACGGGTATAATATAGTGTACATATATATATATGTGTGTGTGATGCATATATGTATATATATATATACACACTTTTGAATACATACTTAAGTAAGCAAATAAATCAACAGAGGTCTGTAAATCATATAAATAAATGCATTGGTAATTTAGAACCGAGATCATCTGATTCTCCAAGTGGTCATTGATCATAGCCTGAACATATAAACAACATCATCAAAGTAATATGAATAGAGATCTGTCAGAGACTGAAGGCGGGCCAGCCCCCCAGAAGCAGCGTGTCAGCCGGCGAGCTCTGTGGCAAGCCGCGCCATATGAATAGAGATAAAGAACACTTATTTCATAATTCAAAAGAAATCACTATAAATATAGATAGAGAGAGAGAGAGAGAATAACCTACACAAATATACCATATCAACATCAGATTAATATCATCAGATATCATCAAATATCATCAGATATCATCATCCCATCTGATAGCCACTAACTATATATATATGTATAAGTACATAAGTGTCTATAACTAGATATGACTACAATCATCTAATATGGCAACGAATAAATCTATATAATAATGTTAGATAATATATATATATATATATCTATATATGTATGTATGTGTGTATGTATGTAATATGTTATATGTATATATATATATAAGCTGTTAAACTATTTAACTATGATATAAGTGCCTAAATTTTCAATTGATGACATCATCAACTATGATTAGAGACTCCAATCTGATAACTAATATATATATATATATATACGTGTGTGTGTAATAACTGTATAACATTGTAAAACCATATATGACTATATGATACTATATGACTATGAGTGTCTGAGTCTTTTGCCATATGTTGACATCATTCCAATCCCAAAAATCTCAAAATCCGCCCCCTCTCCGGTAATTCGGTCGTGGAGCTCTTCGTCGTTCCGCAGCCGTCGCTCGCAGAACTCCAGCGCCGCGCCGTTCTGCCGCACCGCGGCGAAGGCCACGTGGCGCTCCGCGCGGCGCCGGGGCGAGGCGAAGCGCAGGGCGAGGCCGTCGGTGCTCACGGCGGCCATGACCAGGGCACGGTCATCTTGGAGGCTTTCCTTTAAAGGGGAGGGGAGGACGGGGGGATGGGGATGGGGTGAACATGGGGGGAAATTGCAAAGATGTGTGAAAATGTGGTAAGATGCAAAATTGGTGGAAAATGGTGGAATTAAATTAAATGGGATATGGTGGAAGATTGATGGAAATGCTGCTAATGGAAAAGAATTGTGTTCTTTCGCTCATTTGAGGTTGCTTTAGGATAACTATGCAAATATGAATATCAAAAATTGTGGAGTGGTGAATCGTCGTATGACGGCATGAGAAGGTGGCAGCTCCCAAAGAAGAGACCCTCTCCATTTGGTGCTGGTCATGACAGCTGAAAGGCAACACCAAGCAACAAAGTCCACCGATCACAGACTTCACAAACGCCCAAAAACGAACACAAGCAACCCCAACCCATCCCAACCCCATTCCATCCCAGCAACCCAACCCCAACCCCAAAACGGCCCCAAACGACAGGTCTCATGCGCATAGCACAGGCGTTGCCCCTCGCACTGCACGGCCGACAGCACCACCTCGCGATCCCGGCAGAGCAGTTGGGCGAAGGCGGCGCCGTCCTGCGACAGGAAGTGGATCAAGTCCCGGGCATAGTGCTGACAGTTGCCTTAGATGGCGTGCTGATATGGCGTGCTATGCTGGGCTGAAAAATCTGAAATCATGGTGCCTGCAGTGAAACAAAATTCTTCTGATTCACCATGATTTAGCATGACTTACCATGATAAAACTTGTTGCAAAGGGCGATTTTCTGATGCTTAGATTGGTGGGTAACCCTCAGAGATCCCCATTGGCTCAGCTGCTGTTGATGAGGCAGTAGGGCCTCCAAACAATCGCCAGCGGCCCGCAGATCCAATCCACCAAGTCCTCTACAAACTGTCCAGAATTGGGAGATTTGCTGGTGATTTGTGTGAATTGGCATGGGTAAGAATAGAGATTCTAAGCGACTTACTGATAACGAATGATAAATATGAATGTGTTAAATATATGGACGGATCCAATGGTTAGTATGGTTCTATGTTCATCTAAACTGGCAACCATAAACTCACAACCTTTCCACCCACCAGGTCCTTCAGTGACACATACCTTTCCACTTTACACTGTGAGTGCTGTGCACTGGGCTTCCTCTGGTCCCCAGTGGCGCGATAGGCCCTGGCATAGGTGGAGAGCAGCTGCTTCTCGCCAAAGAGCAGCTCCAACTTGTCATTGTACTTCTCGGTGCAGATGGCCAAGCCGCCCTCCACCTCCAGCATCATGAAGGCGTGATAGAACAACCTGGAATGGGAAGGTATAGAGTATAGATAGTACAGGGAAGGCCATGGAAGTGGTATACCGGTATACCTCTACCAGCACCACCAAATCACCCCATCCATCCACATCCCCATCTCAGCCAGATCTATCTCCACCAGGTAGCAGGGTGAGGTATTGCCCCTCGCTGAATTTGGATCTCCATTCGGAGTAAGCCACAATGGCCGCCTTGGGATCTGCCCGTTTCAGCAGCTCTCCAGCGACCACCTCGAGCAGCTTCACGTGCACCGGCCAGTCACTGTTGGACACCAACCTCAGCTGGGCCCCTGCCGCCCCCAAAAAAACCGAGGAGCCTGGAGGATCCACCTGAGGTAGAAGCTCCTGACCTGATGATGCCAAGCTACCTGATACCTCACTGCGCAGTCTGCGTACTCATGTCAAACGCAGTCTGCGTACTCCAGGACACGAGCATTCGGATGCCCATTTCTGGCATAACACGAACCGAGCCCGCACCATCAGCAACACATTGGCTGGCTCGAATTTCGGTCCACATATTTATCATATTTGGATATATTTGGTGATTCTTCCTGAGCCCTCCAATGTTGGAGATCTTGACCCCCTTTCTTATGGTTTTTGATACCCCCATTTTAGTAGTTCATCTGTCGCTACCCCTATGTTTCACACTGGTACCTGTTTTTTTAAGCCTTTAACTCACCATCCCTTTATGCAGGTTTCCTGAAATGGGGGGAGGGGGACAATGCCAAAATCATCCAAGTGATTGGTACTGTCTGAGAATTCCCCAAAATTTGATGATTAATCTAATGATGTTCCACATTAAACTGGCGATATCTGCTTTAGCTAATTATTTGTAGTATACCTCTTCTTCACTTGATTTGTTATTCATTACATCCCCTTAAAAGAAGTTCACTGTTCAACGACTTCAACCTTCCCCATCCTCGCCCTGGCCACGCAGCATGGCATCTGGATCCTCCGCCTCCGCAGGACGCACCTCGCGGCAGAAGACGCTGTAGCTCCACGAGTCGCGATTGGCGCGCGAGGCACAAGCGTTGTCCACCAGTGGTAGGGCGGCTAGGCGCTGCAGGCTCTCCATGCTGCATGGCCATGGCCACTTGGGGGAAGTGGACCTAAATGGAGATTTTATCTGAGCTTAGAAAGACTTGGATTTGAGAACCCAAAATGTGGATATAACATGATATAATATGATATGACATGATATAATATAACAGTAACATTTGTTGGAAAGTGGTTGGTTCCCCTTATGAAATCTTGGGTGCCTGTGAGGTTCCATCCAACCAATACTAAGAAAAGCGGCTGGTCGGGCCCCGACTCGAGGGGATGAGTCGAATTCACATGTATTCACCCTACGATGACGACATCCGATGACGACATCATACAAGAAGATACAAGACATTTTCAGGCATTGAAATTGATTCGCAACTAGCTATTCATGCCATTTCAATCCATTTCATACTGTACCAAAGTATACCACACTATACCAATATACCAAAGGATTGGTTGCCATGAGATGTAATGGCATATGATTGGGTGCCCTGCCCATAGGCAGGATCCAGGGCAGCTACGAGGTACCTCCCAGCGGGCTCAGCATGGAGCTGTTCATCCTCCAAGAATATGAAGATGAATGGTGGACAACAATGGAAACAGATGGAAGCCATGTAAATGATGTAAATGTTTTGTGATTTTATGATATTTTATTGAAACCAGCAGCAAGCATGACATAGCATGACTACTACAGTTAGAAACCCGGGATACTCCAACAGTTGGAAAGCATGCATGCGCTTTTTTTTTCCTTTGCAGGGCTCGGGCGATCTAGGTGGTCCAGGTTGCTGTTGGCCATTTCTTCATCATCCTGCAGGTGTGGGTTTCTAGCCCTTCAGCAGTCCCAAACTGGAAAATGTAACCAACCCTTTGTCTCTCGGACTGCTGCGTCGAACTCCTTGCAAAGCTGCTCGCAGAAGTATTCAAGTGGGAGCCACCAAGAATGAGGAGGATATGGCTGCCAGAGTATGGCTATATATGGTTTTCATTGGTTTTCCTTCTCAAGATGGCCACGCCGGTCGAAGCCACGTCTAACCCCACCGAGCGTCTCCTCTTCCGTTGCAGTTCTTACGTCTCAGCGCAGCACCAAGCAGGCCATGAGACTTGCCACTAGGCCGGCCAGGGCCAGGGGTGCCCAGCTTGGGGACTGACTGCGCTGGTTGCCCTGGTTGCTCTGGTTGCTGATGAGATATCCCTGACGTTGATAAAACTGGTCCAGCTCTCTGGCGTCCTCTGCAGTGATGTTGAAAATCGAGGGAAGAAAGCCCTTGTGATTCTGCTGGTCATGGACACCCACAGGCCCATACACACTGTAAATCAGGCAGCGCTCCAAGTCACTCAGATTGGGCGTGGCCGCATGTTTGGTGCTGTAAAAGAAAAGTAGCGTTTCACCACGTTTCAACGGAAGCGCCACATCAAGCTCACCGAGAGATGGATCAGGCGGTTTCCTCGGTTGAGGCATCAACCAAACTCTTGGGGCTGTTTGGCCAGAAGGCTGAAGTTGAGATTTCGCCACAATTTTATTGCCAAATGTTTGAATCTTTTGAAGCATGTTGAGAAGTGTGGTGACGTGCAGCGACTGCAATTTTTCTCTGCGTAGTTGTGAAGTCAAGACCGCCAAAAGCATTTCAAAATTCTTCGAAGCCTACCAACCCTCCTGAGATCTACAGTAATTACCCCAGAAACCGTGGTTCAAATGACCTGAGATCACCTGGATTTCTAAGTCTGTCGGAAACCCTGTTGGTTGACGAAAAGGATATCATCAAATGAATCAAATTTGGGAAGGTCTCATCGCTCACCACACGGTTGTAATTACATGGCAAATTTAGGGGCATCGTTTAAAGTAAAAGAGATGTATGTGCACAGGTATGACATAACCTTCAAAGAGGCCGTATCGCTATTTATTTGGATCTATTTGGGAAGATCCCATCCCTTGCCTCATCACAATCCCATCCTCAAACCAATGTCCATCCCACACATGTTACCGAGCTGAGTCTGACCTGAAACGACCTGGGCGTCTGTCCATGTTCCAAGATCTTCCAAGCGTCGGTCCCGGCGACCTCTTCCCGGGCCCACTGTGCGCGCTGTGCGTCTGCGGCTGGCCATGGATAAAGCCCACCTCCTCCAGGTACTCTTCGCAGGCGGTGACGGCCACCAGCAGCCGTTGCTGGCCATCGCGGTGCCACACTGGTGGCCCGGAGCCCGGGAAGTTCCACAGGGCGCCTGGGGGCCGTGGTTCACTGGTTCAATCTGGTAAGGGGGAAAAGGCGGCCGGAAACCTATGGAAACTTGAGCTTTTAAGATTGTTTTTTCCAGCGAAGGTGATTGGCTGCTGTAGAAAAATCAGCTGGAGATGGATCTATATGATGGATCAATGAATGGAATGTGAAATAAGCAGCAGCCGCTGCAAGTCGCTGCAACAGGTGTGCCAGCCAAGACAAACTCACTTTGTGAAGATCGGAGACCCCTTCAACCCTGGCCTAGCACTGTCTGCTGACTGCTTGCTGTAGAATAGACCAACTGCGTGATGCCGTGCAGATCAGGATGCCCGTACCACCTGGAAGACTTCAGGAGTGCAGCATCCAACAGCTTGGGCATGTCCAGGCGGCCCTGGGAGTAGCAGAGTGCCTCTTGGAACTCAAAGAGTTTCTCAATGTTGTATGTGCCTGAAGAATCACCACATCTGAAGCACCATCGGTTTAAACCCTTCCAAGTCCAGATCTCATCATATTTCCATTTTCCATTGTGATGGATATATATATATATATATACATAAATATGTTGAAAAAAACACTGGATATAGTGTATATATATATATACAATGGGCATATCTATATTTTTTTTTTTGGCTGTGTCGGCGCGAAGTAGCAGATCGCTGCGGCCCAAGCATTGAATGAATTCAATCACATCAAGTGTCACCCAGCGAAATCTTTGCCATAGTGGACCGAAAAGTCTTGAACAAGAAGGGTCTTACACTGTGACAAGAAATCATCAGCCTGTGCAGCGCTATCGTCAATACGAACAGAGCGCAAATGGGTGTAAAAACACTTGGCAAATGCAAAACAAAGGGCTGGTGGGTACTCTTTGAGTTTGGCTGTTGCCCATTGCCCATCAGTCTGCAGTCCTATTGCACTCCGTTTTGGAGGCTGTTCACAAACCGCGCACTCACGCAACGCAGCAGGGAGACCAGGCAGGTTCAAACTGAGCAGGTGAGTGGGTTTCGGTGAAGGAGCGCCGAAATGTCCTTGCAGCACTAGTAGGACTTCAACACCTGGTAGGTGTGTGAGCAAAATGACAATCTGCAAGCGCCAGATCGAGGCTGCATCTGCGGCGTCGGGTTCAGCCGGATGTTCCAAAATGGCAACCCCGCCCCGCAGGGCCAAACGGAAAATGCAGACCAGTGAGAACAGCAGCAGCTCGTTGCCCATGGAAACTTGCTCCAATTCTTTCAGGCCCAAAGCATCAAAACCCCAGAGCTCCGAAGCATTTCTGATGATGCGAGGCCCTTTACGGGTGTGTTCCCCTAAGACTTCAACTCCCCGAGCCTTGCTCCAAGTTTCACACGGGGGGCCACCAATGAAACCAACAACCCAACCCTGATCAATGCCCTTAAACCAAAATTGCTGAGTCGATCTGCTGGAGGCATCTCCAAGAGTGCTATCATAGATGATGTCCATGGACACAGCATGGATGAGAACTCCATCAGCGCAGTTGGCAAGTAGGCGATCAAGATAAAATTGGAAGTCACCAGGACGTCTGCGGCCTGCAAACGCATGTAATACAATGCGATGTTTGCCCCAAACACGAGGGATATCAAAGGCGGCTGGGTCCAAACGAATGTCACCACAAGCAGCCTCAATGTGTGCAATGTCTCCAAAGTGCTCGCTAAACTCAACCCGTTCAACCAAAAGAAATGGCCACTCATCTGGTTGTTGACAGCATCTAATCAGATTGCTGACATCACGCCACGGCAAGACTCCGAGATCTTGTGCTTCGGCATCCAGATTGCGTTGAAGTTCAGCTAAAGTGGCACAGCATTTCGTCCATGAGATAGGTTTTTGTTTAATACAACCATGCAATTCAACTCGCAGCTCATCCAAGTTGGTAGCATGGAGAATAAGAAGAGCAAGTTCCTCAAAAAGGTTCTCATCAAACACGTCAAAATCACTGCCACGTTGGAAATCACGGTGTGGCCCCTCAGCACGAAGCGGTGGCAACAGTCCATCTTCCTGTTGATGCAAAGCTTCATCTGCGAGGGATCCAAGACCTGGCATAGGGACATTGAAAGCACGAAGTCCGTGCCACTTTCGTCTGCAACCTTCATTACGTATCAAATGCATCTTGAGTTTGCCAAAGGTGAAATACTCAGTGAGGCAAATCGCGCACTGGGTGGACTGGAAAAGGTGTCTCACAGGATGCATCTGTCCGTGGGTGCGGAACATGTGGGCTCCTTCACCTGCTTTGCTCCGGCACGCAATGCTGCACTGCATGCACCCAAAAACTTCCTGGGCAGTGTCCTTCTGTGCAATCTGCAACGGAACATAATGGCCATGAGCTTTGAGAAGAGCAAAAATGTCCAGATGCGCTTGTAGAACCTTGAAATGTTTATTACGCTGCCCAATGGCATGTTTCATGGCTCTCTTGGTGAGTCGCTTCCAGTATCCCGGCTGGTGCCGGATGATGTCAAGCCACTGCGCAAAGTGCAGCGTGGGGTCTTTCAAAGGGCTGGAGTTCTTGAGCTGGTTGTGCATCCAAATGAAGTCATCCTCAATCAGTGCCTTCCATTCAGAGTCAATGTTGAGGAGGCCCCACGAAACAACGTCAGCAGCTGCAAAAAGCGTCCTAACATATCGCAAACGGGAGATCCGAAGAAGTTCACTAGGGCTTGAGAGTCCTGTGGCAGTGAGAATGGAGTCATCGTTAAGCTTGTCCTCATGTTTTACTCCAAGTAAGCGTTTGTACAGCTTCATGATTGCTGCATGTAACAGGCTCTTGGTCTTCTGGTCACTGATGACCCAGGAGTCGGTGCCGTAAAGCATTTTGCTGAGGACTAAGCAACGAAATAACTCAACACGCTTCTTCAAGGAAATCGCTTTGTTCTGAAAGAGCAATCTGCGGTGTTCTGAAAATGTCTGGTGCGCAATGCCAATTCTTCTCCTGATTTCACATTTGAGATCGCCAGAGTGGTGCAAAGTGCCGCCCAAATGGCGATAAGCTCCAACCAAGGGAATCTGATAGAAGCCCGTGTCCCCCAGGATTGGAAAAAGTCTAGGAGCTTGGGGGCCAAACCAACAGCGACGAAAGGCTCGTTGCCCTCGTCCTCTCATAGAGAACATCAGTTCAGTCTTCCCCTTGCTGAGATTCGGAGTCATGCCATGCACTTTGCAAAGATCGAGCAAGACACTAGAAGTGACTGCAGCCTTGTGCGAAAGCGCATGCAGATTACTAGCACTCATGCAAATGCAGAGGTCATCACACCAACATGGGCCAAGGAAGGGCTGTGGCAATGCTGCATGTGGTGGAACTTGTCCAAACCAATTTGGGCCATGTTCATCACTCACAAACTCGCAAAGGTCGTGTTCTTGAAGGCAAGCCTGTAACTTGTGGAGGATCTTAGCCCACAAATAACCAAACACGACGTCCGCAAATGCATCGCCTGGTCGGCTGCCTAAGGTAGTTCTGCAGCAGTCATGTTGGCCCCTCAGGGCAAAGTGCGTGTCTGCATGAATGGCACGCAGGGCTCTTTGAGAGTGAGGCGGAAGGCCAGCATCTTCAATAGCTCCCGGCTGCTGCAGCAGGCGTTGTAACTCCTCAAGGGTGTCATGATCAAGCCTCAACCGTGCAGCCATGGTCGCCAAAACCTCATCATCGAGCGTGCCAGATAATGCAAGCGGTCTGATGACCCGATAGAAGGCTTCCATCAAATCAAGGAAAAGAAGAGCAGTTGGTCTGCCCTGGGATTTGTGAAATCTCATAAAGGCTCTTGCAAGGTGCGTGCCAAGTGTGACTGGTGTGCGCCTACGGCCGCCCAGCTGCTGCGCATGCATGTAGGACTCATAGAGATGTGCTTGCTTCAAGCGCAATGCTCTGTGCAGCGTTTTCCCAAAATGAGAACTCAAAAGAATGCTTCGGAATGATGAGCAACTGCTTTTGTCACCTTTGCCTTTCCAAAGAGGCACCAGGGTGCCCCCTTTGTGGAGGAGACACTCCTGACCTTGAAGAGCAACTTTCAGCAGTGTGGCATAACATTGCTTGGCGATCACTGCAGGAAAGTAATGAAAGAGCTCTGATGGCAAGAAGTCAGGGCCACATGCTTTGCCCTTCTTGACACGTCTGAAAGCCGTCTCCAATTCCACAAGAGAAGGGACTTCATGGACATCTACTTCCAAATTGTTGGTGGCAAACTCTTGGAGGTTATTGATCCACATTGCCCTTTGCTTTGATTGGTCCACTCTGTTTCCACCTTCCATGCACATGAAGAAAGAAATCCAGCGATCCAAAGCCTCAGCACTGGAACCACAAGGTTGTCCCTCTTCATTGTGGACAAGCGGCAAGGGTTTCGGTCCTTTCTTGAGGGCATTTGACGACCCAACAAAAGGTTTGAGAGTGCAAAGGATGTCTGATGCAGAGTTCAAGTGAGAGAGCTCGTCAATCTTGGCCGCCAGTGTCACTTTTTTTGCGACACTCAATTTGTGCTTAAGTGTGCGGCAAGTGGCCCAGAGTTCAGCTGCACGCAAGACTTCTGAACATCGTAATGAAACTTCAAAACGGAGTGATCCACCAACAAGTGCAGGAAGATGCTCAACTGGCCCACAAGCTTGAGAACGCCATCCGGTAAAGAAGCGTGCTAACCTTTCCAAAGAGGTGGTGCGTTGCGTCAAACGAAGGCGTCTGCGCAAGTGGAACTTTCGCTTGCGTAAAAGCCACAACTCCTCAGAAATGAAGTCTTTTTTGGGTTTGAGTGGTTGCTTCTTGCAATGCTCGGTCAGTGCAGTTCTGAACAAGGTGTTCGGTGACTCCACATGTTGCTCAATGTCGGTATGCCAGCAAAGATCCTGGGGTAGAGAAAGCGGTGCAGCAAGCGAGGCTCGTGCAATTGCATCTCGATTGCAAGTCCATGCTTTCGTGACAGAACAAGGAATAGCCACAAGGTCAGTAGTATCCCAGGCCAGCTCCAGTCCGACTGCCAAATGATCTTCATGCAGAGGATTGAGGTCAAACTGCTCCAAAGTTTGTGTCCAGGTACACGAGGAAAGGAACTTCTGGGGAATGGCGACAAAATCAATGAAGTGTTTGTCAATACCATCGGGAGCAGTCCATGTATATTGTGGCCCAACATGGAGTGCGCTTGTAGCCGGAAGACAGAGCTCATGGTCCGTCAGAAATTGGCGCCACAGCGAAGTGCTACTACTGGCTGAATAGCCAGGGCCCAAAACTGCATGGTGGTCACAGGGTCCAGGCGACGCATTGGCGTCAATGAGGACAAACAAAGGTCTCTGTTCAATGTTGTGAGAGTCCACAATGGCCGCAGTGTCATCCCACCATGTTGCACGTTCCGCAAGTGCGTAACCACTGTGTGGGGCGTGGCCCACAAGAATGTGAGCATGCCACAGCGCATTCTGGACAACAACGAGCCATCTCCGTGGATCTCGATGTAGTACAACAA